TCTGTTACGAATCACTGCTTAGTCAAACTGAAAGAAATCACTGCATGTACTCTATCTTTTCCTTTACAGTACATTTAATAACCCCCTCCCCTGTTTCAATTTTTAAAGAATTTGAAAACAAGACTTTAATTTATATTGTTAGATTACCCTATGTGTATGTTTTCTGACATTAAATGCCTAGAACCTGTATGAAACTACACTGATATCAAATTGAAAGCATTTCAGAATACTATAAATGTAAAGTTTAATAGTTAATCATTCCAACATTCAAGATTATATAAAGTATCCAATCCTGCCTCTGTCTCCAGTCCACATCTTACTGTATGTCCATTTATCTATAAAAGTTCACAATATCTTCCTCAAATGGTCAGTTTAGAAATCTTGTCACAATAATATCATCTCTTACCTTATATCTAACATAATTTGGCTAATATATGAACTACAAGCCATATTTGCAAATGTTGTATGTATGAAGTTAACAGTATATATAAATTCATCAAAAGTTTTATAGAACCTACTGCTAAAATCAGTTTTTTGCATAACTTCAAAACATGTTTTTGTTTTTTTCATACAAAAGACCTTTATAATGATAAAATTATAGCCTTAACAAGTTAAATTATCTGTTTTATGACCCAGGGGTTAGGATTTTTTCTCTGTTTTTAGCCCCTGGGGCCTCAAATTTGCTAAATAATTCTACTGTTTCTGTGAATATTGAATATTAAGTATATTTTTAGGATAGAACACACTATTGTTAGTTTAACAGAGGTATTTTTGTATCTCTAGCTTGTATTTTTTTATGCCGCGGTCACAAGAAAGCACATTCAGGTGTTATGGCTTACTCTCAAAAGAACAAAAACAACCAACAAGAATGTTCAGAAAAAATCTATGAGTTTTAATGACTGCGAAGAGTAAATATAAGTAGTTCTTAACAATTAAAATAACATACATGCATATATCATGAATTTGCTTTGCATACAGGACTTGAGGTAAACTATGTAGACTGAACTGTTAATTTATGCTGAGTCATCATATTTAAGGCCCAGGATTTTCTCAATCTTGAAATATTTATTGAACTTTATATTTGAGTTAATTACATTAAAATCTAAAGATAAACCAGATTTTGTGAAATTCTACATATTCTCTTTTTTTATCCTATATAGGTTGCACTTCTGTAAATGTAGAGAACTTATCATGAGTAATAGGATAACTATATTTGGTATGTGCGTACCTTCAAGGTCCTCGTGCCAGACATTTTTCACTTGACCTCATTTCATGGATCAGTCAACAAGGTTAAATTTTCGTGGTCAAGTCCATATCTCGGATACTATAAGCAATAGGTCTACTATATTTGGTGTATGTAATGATTGTTATGTGTTCATGTCCAACTGGTAGGTGTCATCTGACCTTGACCTCATTTTCATGGTTCAGTGGTAATAGTGTAGTTTTTGTGTTTTGGTCTGTTTTTCTATTACTGTATGCAATAGGTCAACTATATTTGTTGATGGAAATATTTAAAATTTAATGATGTACATGTCAGTCTTGCAGGTTTTATTTGACCATGACCTCATTTTCATGGTTCATTGCTTATGTTAAGTTTTTGTATTTTGGTCTGTTTTTCTTAAACTTTAAGCAATAGGTCAACTTTATTTGGTATATGGAATGATTGTAAGGTGTATATGTCTGTCTGGCAGGTATCATCTGACCTTGACCTCATTTTCATGGTTCATTTGTCAATGTTCAGTTTTCCTGGTTAACTTTGTTTCTTAGATACTATAAGCAATAGGTCAACTATATATGATGCATGGAATGATTTTAAGGTGTACATGTCTGTTTGGCAGGGTTCATCTGACCTTGACTTCATTTTCATGGTTCATTGGTCAATATAGAATTTCCATGGTTTGGTCTGTTTCTTTTATACTATAAGCAATAGGTCATCTATATTCTGTGTATGGAATGATTGTATTAAAGGTGTACATGTATTTCCGGCTTGGTTTATCTGACCTTGACCTCATTTTCTTGGATCATAAATGTTGATGTGATACTTGTAGTAAAACTTTATATGTAGGACTATCAACATAAAATCAATGGTCAGTATAGTAGGCGAGACATTTCAGTGTGTGCACTCTTGTTATACTTTAAAGCAAATATTGAAATTAAAATGGCAATCTTTTAACATAGTAAAGATATGTCTCGCCTTTTTGTAATTTTGATAATATACTGCAAATATTGAATCCAAATGGCAATATTTAAACATGTAAACTATATGTATGCAAAACATTCAAAGTCAATGAAGCATGACTTAAGGAGCAGGACCAAATATCCTCCATGGAAATGAGAAATGTTAATGCTTATAAAACTGCATACCAAATATCATTTCATGTAAATTATGCCAAACATTCAGTGAATAGACCATGTCTGAGGGGGCTGATCCAAATAATCTCTATGGAAATGAGATGCACCAATGCTAATGCATCTATATACCAAATATCATTGACCTACTACAAGTGGTTCCCCTTAAGCTGACCGTATCACAAACGTATACAAGTAAAGTAAGCAAAAGTTTCAAAGTCAATAGACCATGACCACATCACAAACTAATACATTGTTGACGCTGCCGCCAAAGTCGGAAACAGCATACCTTAGTCTCATTTTTTTACTTCATCAAGATGAGACAAAAAAAAAACAACATATAGTTAATCAACAATACTGTTTATTATCATTTTTTCTCTCATTACACTTTTACAGGCAAAAAAACATCAAAGAGTTGTGTTTATCTACTGTTCATTTTACATAGGAATACTTGGTATTGATTAATTGCTATATTCAGTACCGTAATTCTATGCAATTGCAAATAATTGCAAACACTTCTTAGATGTAAATGAAAAACTGAGATGAAAAAAATCCCAGTTTTGCTAAACGTTTAAATAAAGTTGAGGAAAATAATAATAAGTATGCAATTATTTAAATCTTAAGCATCTTTATTTCAATATTCATCTTCTATCTTCTATAGCTGAATAGATATTATTTTTCAGAAAATTTTAACTGAGATGAGGACAAAACTTAAAAGAATTGTTTTTTTTTTACTTATAGGATTTAAATAAATGACACTAAATCATGAAATAGTTTAAAAAGCAAATATTAATGAAAAATTGTATGAAATCAAAGGATAAGCCTGATGCTGTTAATGTTTACTTGTTTAAAAATGTGTTTTAACATGCCATATTCTTTTTGCAATCTCAACTTTCACATGTTTTCTTTCAAATGTAAATGTCAGAACAACCCATTCCTGAAACAAATCAAACAACAAAATTTGTTTATTTGTTGCTCTTATTAATTTAGAGTAAAATATTTCAAACAGGTTTTTGAATTGTTTTGTCAAACTACATTGATTATAAAGTGTAAAATTTTTAAAATCTGAAAATGATTTTGGTGTAACTGATTTTAACACAGTAGTCTACAAACAATCAAAGTTATTATTTACATATAAATAACAAATGTACTAACGAATTAATGTATAACTACACCATAATGTTATATAACAAAGCTAAATGCCATCCTTTATAAAGGGCCATCAAATAAATAGAGCTAAAGTAGGGGTTGTAGATTTACATGATCTGTATATAGTCCAATTATTAACACATTTATACATAATTCCTCTCACAGATGAATACAATATTATTGGAGGTCTTTCCTTTTGGTTTTGACTTGCTATTGTGCCAATTTTAGCTTCAATACAAATTACTGAATAAATAAACCATTTCAGTGCTTGAAATCATTAGCTAAAATTTGTGGTAATTAGTGGGATCTATTTCCTATAAATATGGACAAACATTTCCTATATAGTTGGACATACATTTCCTAAAAAGTTGGACAAACATTTCCTATAAAGTTGGACAAACATTTCCTATAAAGTCGGACATACATTTCCTAGTTAAATGGAATTTTAAAGAACAAACTCACAACAGATTAAAAAATCAACTCCGTTTAATGTTATAATTTTATTGCACAAACTAAATTGAGATTATACTGTTTAATTTCAATTTTTTTTACCCTAAGAAAACTGTGGATGTTGGGCTTTTAGTCTTGCATGTTACCATACAAAGGTATCCAAAAAACATTTTTCTAGACACATCTGTTGTGGACACTGAGATTAATGTCCTATTTTTTTTTAAGTATGAGAAATGCGTGTTTTACTGACATCCCATTTCAAGGAAATGACCTCACAGATTTGACGAACCAGCACATTTTTTTCTAAAGTTCAGGAAAAACATAACATATACCAAAAACAAAGTACCAAATTCTTAACTTTAGATATGAACTGGTAAAAAATATTCATCTATAGTTTCACACCTTCAAAAAATCAGTATATGAGTGAATGATGCTTCACATTCCAGTAGGTTTTTTTATATAAACTTGTTATGTGTTGTAGAAAAATATTAAATAGGTATGTAGAGATCTACGTTAAATTACAGGTCAAATACATAAACTGAGGACTCTCCTTTACAAAATTAAAATTCCTCTCTCATATAAATTTACATTCATGCACCAAACAGCCCATAATTATGTTATCACACTAGATATAGAGTTCACTATCCTCTAAAATGAAGAATATATTTTTGATTTTGTAAAATAATACACACAATATCAAAAGAAAATTGTCATATTAACATCTTCAAAACCAACATTCAATATAAAGTAAACACAATTTGTTAATTTCAAGACCTTATTTCACTACTTTAAGAAAAGCTATACATGCGTAATAATTTTTTTCATAACTATCAAAAAGGAAGAATTAATACTCGTGCTTACATATTTTCAGTAAAATTTATTATGCAAAATTATGCAAAAGCCTATTTGAAAGCCTGATTAGAACAAAAACTGCTACCAAGTTGTTAAGCACCAAATTATTTTTATCTTATATTATTGGCGTACATAAGTTACATTTTTTGAAATAGACTATTATTTTCCTACTATAAATATATATAACTTGAACATTGAAAAATTAAACAAGTAATTTATTAGCAGAGCTTTGATGAAGCGAAACATAATTCACCAATCCCAAATGGCTACAATGTCAGTTATAAATGTATACATTTGTACCATATTATATGCAAAGCTGATATCTCATAAAAAGATTGACCAATTATATGAAAATGTACACATCATATGAACTCAGGAGGTAATATCTTACTCCATTCATTTAGTTTTTACTTCAAATAGACATATTTATAAATAAATTTTTAGTTTTGGAGCAAAATATTTCTTTTTTCTTTGAAAGAACAAGCAAGTAAATGGGATCCTGATTTTCTTTCCCACTTTAAGAATATCCCAGTGAAGGCAGAACTCTGATTATGCAATTCCACAAAATTGTCCTCCCTACTTATATAAAAATACATTGTTTCACACTCCTTGCATCTTTCCTCCTGTCACAATCAGTCAAGCCACAGTTTAACACACACACATACATGAGGATGTACAAGGATACAATATCTCACATTTTAACACAATTTTACAGACTGGATGTTACAATGCAAACAACGGGTTTTCTTCCTCATCTTTCTGTAGTTGTCGATTTCGACTTCCTGACCTTTGACCTGCAGCCGCAGAAATGGTGGGTACTGAATTAGCTCCTGTTGACCTTTCTGCCAAGAACTGGTCAAATTCTGAAATATTTCATATTCTGATGATTATGTGGTAATACAGGTCACTAATATCTAAAACATAATCCTACTATATGCAAATCGAAATAAAATTAAAAATATAAGATAAAACAGACTAGATTTTCATTGCACTGAAATGAGACCTCTTGTACAATGTACTGTCAACCAAATCTTTCCATATTATCTTTTATTAGTGGATCTTCATATAAATTAAAATGACCAACTCCTCAAGACAAATGTTGTATTTATTATTGTTAAATAACAGGGATAAATGTGAGATTAATTACTGCAATTTCATACAAATAATGCAATAGAAATTAAAATTTTAGTTTCTATTTTTGAGAAACCTATGCTAGTGCAATTTTTGTAATAATAAAAACATTGCATAAATTTCAGAGGTATCCTACACTATTTTATGATCACCAACTGGGACAAAGTATATATAAGTTGTTAAAAAATGGCCTACACAACCATTATCAATTTGAACTAGCCTACTTCAATTTAATGTAATAGATATAACTTATTAATATTTTCATCAATCCAAAGAGGATCTCTCTTTTATGACTGTAAAATCTCATATAAAAAAATTACATGCAAATTCTTTTCTGAATCATTTAAAAATGATATAACAAGAATTTGTCCATAGTACATGGATGCCCCACTCGCACTATCATTTTCTATGTTCAGTGGACCATGAAATTGGGGTCACTCTAATTTGGCATTAAAATTAGAAAGATCATATCATAGGGAACATGTGTACTAAGTTTCAAGTTGATTGGATTTCAACTTCATCAAAAACTACCTTGACCAAATAACCTGCCTACTCACACTATCATTTTCTATGTTCAGTGGACCGTGAACTTGGGGTCAAAACTCTAATTTGGCATTAAAATTAGAAAGATCATATCATAGGGAATATGTGTACTAAGTTTCAAATTGATTGGACTTAAACTTAATCAAAAACTACCTTGACCAAAAACTTTAACCTGAAGCAGGACAGACGAACTGACGAACGAATGGACGAACAAACAGACACACAGACCGCAAAACATAATGCCCCTAGGTGGGGCATAAAAACAGAATAACATATAAAGGATGTATAAATAGTTTGAGCTGAACACTAGAATCTTCAGTTGTTATTGTGTAATTATAGAATGGTAGTGTTGCATAACTGTTAAAATTAATATAAATATCTTATACATTATCATAAAGTCTTTTCACTGCAGGAAAAAAAACTTTAATAAAATATAAGTACATTCTTTACAAACCTGAACTTGATAGCTGGTCTTGCGGATTCTTGTACTTTTCAAGCTGGAAATAGAATGATCATAACTATAACTGTGGATTCATAAATATTCATGGGATACCAATTTTCATGGATTTCGTCAGTATAGGTAAACCACAAATTTAAATGTTCAACGAATTACAAATTTTCTATAGTAGGCTTGTATGTTGACTTTGGCAAAACCACGAAAATAAATAAACATGAAAATACATCATTTTCTCAATCCACGAAAATTGGAACCCACAAAAATAAAAGAATCCACAGTAATTAAATACAACATATTTATAGAAACTAAATTACACTTAAGGTATGCAAAAAGTTTTATTTGTCTTATTAGAAAGATATGATATTACCACAGAACAAATCAACAATTTGTGTGTCGATATAAAAATAAGGAGATGTGCTATGATTGCCAATGAGACATATATCCCAAAATACCAAAGTAAAATGTCTATATATTTTTTGGAGGATTCAGGTGATGTCGATTGATGTGGTCAGTTGTACAGGGTTTCAAATTAACATTTGGTACTGGAAGGTCCAGGACCTTTGACACTCCAAACTGAAAGGTCCACAACATAAATCCCAGGTCCTACTTTATTTGAAATATTTCATAACTCAGTAAGATACAAAATTAATGTGTTTTTGGTCTTAGGTTAGCTTGTTTAATTATATTTGAACTGCATGCAATATTTTGTTAAGTTTACAAATATATTGCCAGGCAACCATATATAAATGTAGCACTAAACTGTTAGTGTCACTGTGGTATAATCTTTTTTTTTTTTGGTATTGGGGAGGGTGTCACTGTGGATGGGTGTGTTGTCTCAATTATAATTATACCATTATCTCAGGGCTTACACTACTTCAAAATCATAGGGAGAAGTGACTTCTCTTTTTTAAACTGATAGGGAGAAGTGGTGAGATTTGAAAAAGAAGTGCTCACTCAAGGCGCTACAATGTTTGATTTTTACTACAATTTAAAGGGCTATATGTATCTTTTTTTATATTGTTCAATTCATAGCTGAGTATACAATTAAAGTAACAGTTCAAATTCATAGCTGTTTAAGTTCATCATATGTTGCACAATTATATTAGTTCCTCTCTTCTTAGAAACTACTATGTTGAGATTGTCGCGGGAACATAACGTCCGTACTATTGTACTTGTCCATTGTCGACGTCGTATTGTCAGTGACGTCGCCTTGGGCGGAAATACGTTAGTTGTATATAAAATGTAATGGCTGAACAGTTGTCTTTATACACATTGCCTAACTATCATCTATATTTATGGTGGCGTGACCAATGGATCTCAAAAAATTGAAATCAGTTCGATCTGGGAACAGAAGCGCTGTTACCAGACTATTCCGCAGGTTAGATGAAGCAAAGGAGAATACGAATTTCGATGAAGAAGAAGTCTTTGCAACGCTCGGAAAACTTGTGCAAAAACAAACATTGTTTGAGGACTTAAATGAACAAATTTTTAAGTTAACAGAACCGAAAGATGTGGAAAATGAGATTATTGATTCAGATGAATATTCAGTGACTATGGAAACGAAGATTCGACACATACGTAAGTTCATACAAAATGTCCAAACCCCGCAGTCCCGTCATATTGAATCACATACTACAACTCACACGTTAAATCCAGAAACTATACCGTTTGTTCCAACGCACAACATAACCAACCCACACAACGCACAGTCGTTTGAAAACCCGTCTGTACAAGCCAGTCACACATTTAACACGCAACAAAGTACATTTTCGTCAACTAGTAATCAGAGTCACCGCCTACCAAAACTTTCGCTTCCAACCTTCTCAGGCAACATTTTAGAATGGCAAACTTTCTGGGACTCATATGAGTCGGCCGTACATCTTAATCTGTCACTTACAAATGTACAAAAATTTAATTACTTGAAAGCACAGCTAGAACATGAAGCACTAGGATCAATAGCAGGTTTTGCACAAACAAATGTAAACTACGATGAAGCCGTAAATTTGTTAAAAGAGAGGTTCGGTCAACAAGATAAAATCATAAATGCATACATGCAGGCATTATTAGAAATTCCTTCGCCTAGAAATCAGTTAACAAGCTTACGAAGTTTTTACGATAAAATGGAAGGTTACGTCAGGGGATTAGAAGCTTTGGGTCAAACACAGGAAATATACGGCACGTTACTTGTTCCCATTATTATGAACAAATTACCCGGGGAAGTCAGAAAACATCTCGCGCGAGAACACAGAACAAAAACTTGGGTATTACGGGACCTCCGTAAAAGCATATTAGACGAGATAGATATAATGGACGCAGGACAAGAGATAGAGTCAACACACAATTTGCCCACAACATCGTCTTTCTTTGCCAGAGCGAAATCGCCGAAGTCCAAATCTTACAAGAATATTGAGACTAGACCTTGCGTTTTCTGTCACGAAATACACACACCTACCCATTGCAGTAAAATAACCGACACAGAATCCCGTATGAACATAGTATAACGTGATAAGTTATGCTTTAATTGCCTTGGTAAACACAGACTAAACCAATGTAAATCTAAACACACATGTAGACATTGTAATAAGAAACACCATACAAGCTTGTGTAATGTACGTCTAACAAATAGCATAAAACCAGTCCATGAGGTAAGCCATAGAAACGGGGGTAGTAACTCAGCACATACGAATTTCCGCGCGAAAGATAATCAGAGCAGCAACCCGAAAAACCCACCATCTTCAAATTCGACAAACGTTCACCTCGTAAATGAAAGTCATACAACGGATCAAGATACTACCATTTTGTATTTACAATCGACAGAATCGCGATCAAATGTACTTTTGAAAACCGCCGTTGCACAAGTAGGGTCGAATCAGCTCTACACCGAGACAAACATTCTTTTTGACGAAGGAGCGCAAAGATCGTTTTTAACGCAGAACTTAGCGAATAAACTCAACTTACATATAGAGGGAACAGAGATAATACATTTATCGGCATTTGGAGGTGAAGAGAAAAATGCGAGACACCTAGAAAAGACAACAATCTATCTGAAAACCGATGCAGGACACGTATTGCCAATCAAAGTACTGATGATAGCCATGCCTCTACAGAATCACATACGTAATATTGATACACAAAATGGTTATTTGCGTGGTTTAAAGTTAGCGCACACGATGACAGAGCAAGATTCATTCGAAATATCGTTGTTAGTAGGCGCAGATCACTATTGGGACATTGTAGAAGACCATATAGTACGGGGAAACGGTCCAAGATCGGATATTTCCTTTCGGGACCTACATACGGTAAGAAAACTAACACGTCGAAAACTAGCATGTTTAATGTTCTAATATCACACAAAGTTGAAGAATACAATCTAGAGAGATTTTGGAATTTAGAATCAATAGGAATAAATAGTAAGGAGGTAGACGAAGACGGTGATGCATATATTAAAGCCTATCAGGACAGATCAATTGATAAAATTCTAGTATCTGACAATGCATCTACATTCATTGCAGGATCTGAGGAAATAAAAAGATTATGTGAATCGGATATAGTAAAAGATACTTTATCAACACACGGTGTAGAGTGGAGATTCATACCGAAACGTGCACCATGGTATGGTGGATTCTGGGAGCGCTTGATTGCTCTTACGAAGACAAGTTTGAAAAAAGTGCTTGGACGATCGCAAGTTAACATGGAAACATTACAAACAATTGTTGCGGAAATAGAAACTATCTTAAACGACAGACCGCTTACTTATCCATCGTCCGATATCAAAGACTGTGAAGCTTTAACACCGTCTCATCTACTATACGGAAGGCGCATTTCAACATTACCGTACCCACAACCAGAAATCGATAACATCACCGACCCGACTTACATGGGACATTACGATCTTAATAAAAGTGTACACAGACAAACGCAATTGATTCAACATTTCTGGAAAAGATGGAAATCCGAATACCTTACGTCGTTACGTGAATTTCATAGGACTACCGGAAAAAATGAACAATTAATAAATACAAGAGACATCGTGCAAATTCACAACGAATCTCCGCGTATAAACTGGAAAATTGGAATCGTAACCGAACTGGCGAGAGGTAACGACGGACTTGTAAGATCTGCACGAATAAGAACCAACAATGGGGAAACAACTAGACCGATCGCAAAATTATATCCATTAGAAGTTACACAAACGATGACAAACAATTCTAACGTTCCAATAGATGATCAGCAGGAAAATATGGAGAACAGACCGAGACGAAAAGCAAGTCTTAAAGCCCGTGAGACCATACGGAAGTGGATACACCAATGATGTTAAAGACGACCATTAGTGATGTAATTGATAGACAATTACGCGTTTTAGTGCAAAGTTGAATTTTATTCTTATTTCATGAGTGACATTAATTGAATTTAATTGCTAAATGTAATTTCCGTTTTAAATGATTTCATGTACTCAGTATTTCAAAGATAAACACAACGCGAGAGACAATTTCAAAGTATTATTATTTATTGATGGACAGTAATTTATCAGTGAAACGATTGATCAATGGATAATTGAGATTATTTAGAAAATTGTGATATTTTTTACTTTTCGCGGCCCCAGTATGTTGAGATTGTCGCGGGAACATAACGTCCGTACTATTGTACTTGTCCATTGTCGACGTCGTATTGTCAGTGACGTCGCCTTGGGCGGAAATACGTTAGTTGTATATAAAATGTAATGGCTGAACAGTTGTCTTTATACACATTGCCTAACTATCATCTATACACTCAAGGCGCTACAATGTTTGATTTTTACTACAATATAAAGGGCTATATGTATCTTTTTTTATATTGTTCAATTCATAGCCGAGTATACAATTAAAGTAACAGTTCAAATTCATAGCTGTTTAAGTTCATCATATGTTGCACAATTATATTAGTTCCTCTCTTCTTAGAAACTACCAACTAAATATTTAGCACTAATAAAGAAAGAACTTTTTTTACACCAAAAAAGAAAAGAAAGTGTGGAATGCTTAATTTTTCCCTTTGGGATCAATATTCTTCTGTCAGATGTGCCATTCATGGGTCCGTAGTCATTATCCTTAGAATCCGGATTTCATTCATAGCTGGTCCGTTTCCCAACTCCGATCAGTAGTTTGTACAAATATTTCAATGGCGGACGAGAAAATTTACAAAAATAAACGATGTTTGAAACGCTATTTGGAAGGGAATAATGATGTTTTTATTGCAATGAATGGATTACAAATTTACTTAATGCAACTTTCATCACTTCTAATGGGTTAACAAACTTATTTTGCCGACAGTTAAAATGGTTTGAAGTACGCTCTCGAGGGGTATACCATGTCAATAGTAATATGGCTTTGAAATGACGATACTGATGGTTAAAAAGGTCGGCAAAGTTAATTTTTATTTTCTTTCAAATCGAAGGTCCGTCGGGCGTAGCTAGTAACCAAAATGAAAGTCCAATTGCAATAGTGGAAGATCACGGACCTTGGACCACCGCTAATTTGAACCCCTGGTTGTAATGTCTATATATATTTTTTGGGAGGATTCAGGTGATGGTGATTGATGTGGTCTGTTATAATGTCTAATATTTTTGGTGATTCTTGTTATTCCCTTAACATAATGGAAATAGAAGGGATATGATGTATTTATCAAAGACACAATATCCTACAAGAAGTTAAGCAAATCCTTAAGTAAAGAAACAGGGCTTTATTGCTGTTCCTCATTTCAAAGCCACAAAGAGGCCTTCAACACAGCAAGTTTAAGATGGCCCACTAGCACTTATTCACTGGTCGAGCAAAGATGTTTTCATATCATATTTTGTTCTATTTGTAGAACTATAAATTAAGAATAGTGAATCCAGAAACTTACATCTTTTTTCTGATCAGCTGTTAACCACTGTTCCATTTCATCATAATCTGTATCTTTACTCTGTAACTGTAAAAAGGTTGGAAAATCATACTTGTTCAATCTATAGACAATTAACATAAAAGAGTGTCACATATTTGATGTCAATCAAAAGTTCTCAAAACTGTAATAATATTGTTTATTACACAATTTGAGATGAATTGTTGGAAAGGGAATCTGTATCGGAAATAGAAAGTTTGAAGGTTTTTATCATTATCTGTTAATATGGTCTTTTTGCAGTGACCATCCAAGGTTTCAATACGATTTCAAAGCTTTTGCATTTACCCAATATAAATTTAAATGAATGATAGCAGTATTGAGTTTGTTAGAAAAAATAAAGTAGGATATAAAAGACCCAGCAAGATCAATTCTCTTGTTTTTAGAAGTACTTTTTAAACATTACTTTAGATTATTATAGAAAAACTGTTTCTAACAACAAAAAAAACTCAACAACTTTAAATCTGGCACTTTAATAAGGTATAAAAATTATCCAGACTTCAGGTTCTAAAAATGTGTATGTGTATGGTACAGTTAAACACTTTCTTTACAATACTGTTGTTAATAGATTGGCGCAAGATATGCAGCATAACTGTCATATTTCCTATTAATACTACTTTTTGTTTTTGAGGAAATACTAATATGGGTATAACAAAAACAAGCAAATCTTTATCTTATAAAACAGTGACAAAAAAATAAAAAAAACCCAGTAACACTTGGAATTTATGACTTACAATTAATTATTACAAATATTAGTTGTAACTGTCAAAATTTAAATGAAAAGGAACATAAAAAGAATTGTTATCTAATCTCTGGTTAATAATTTATAATGATTTTTCTTTCCACATGCTAGCTTACATGCAATGCAGTAAAAGCATTTGTAATCCAATATTGGTTACTGTCTAATGAGCTCTGGGATATTGTTATATAAACCAATCTACCCATCAAATACCAGGATATTCCAAGAACAAACTTTTCTCTGCTAAAGTTTGCTGTTTTATTTATTAATCTTTGTAGATGGCTTTATTCTTCCAAATTAGAAATGGGTTCAATAATGTTAACCAATGTTTATCCCCCTTAATAATGACCATTTCCTGCTGAAGGTTGGTAGTTCTCTCCAGGCACTCCTGCTTCCTCCACCAATGAAAACTGACTGCGACAAAATAGCACAATACTGCTGAAAGTGGTGTTAAACACCAATCAATCAATCAATCAATAATAACCATTGTTCTTTATTTTTGGCTGTTTACTGAACTATCCATTTGAATTTTAACTGCCATAAAGTGGGTCTTACAAAAACTCTACTTATAATATTGGCTCAAATTCTTTTCAGATATTTTCATTTAACAAACACAAAATTTTTCAAAGCTGCCTTGTTATAAACAGGAATGCGTAAATTTTGTTTTTAAAGCTTTCAAACATTTTGTTAAAGGAAAGAATTATCTGCACTTGCAAATTAAGATGGAAATATGTTGATGCTTTTACCAATAAAATGCATAAACAATCTAACAGTAAACAAATAAAATAAATGAAGAATGTGTCCATGGGACACAGATGCCCACTGCTTGTAAATATACGGCAAATTCTGCAATTTTTCAATTCACAAAGGGACATAACTCAAGAACGACAAAAGTGACAGAACCCAAATTCAGACTTGATCTTTGCTTGGTGGTAATTAGCCTTGTGTATAAGTTTCATAACATTTGGTTGACGCAATTAAAGTTTGATTGCGGAAACTGCAAATTTGCCAATTTTTTCATTTGTAATTAGACATAACGTGAGAACGGTGGAAAGTGATGCCAATAAAATTCAATCTTGATCTGTGTTTTGTGGTAATAAGCATTGTGTATAAGTTTCATAACATTTGGTTGAGGCAATCTAAAGTTAGAGAAGAGACAAGGGTAAAACGGCGGAGGCATAAAAAATGTTAGAGAGATTAGCTTAAATAAGTGGTTTCAATATCTTCAAAACTAGATAATGAATTTATGCAAGATTGTATTCTAATTTAAGCCTGTCAGAAACAAATCTTAAAGTTACGTCCAACTTAGCAGATTTTACTTTGCATTTTCACTAACACATCATTCTTTTAAAGTTTGACAGACAAAAGGTTCCTGCAAAATATCAACAGAAAACAGATACAAAATTAAATACCAAGTAATGTATCACATGACAGGTAATATTAAATGGTTCAAACCTGATTATTTATAATAAATGTAGATTTAACTTTCATACTTTTTTCCTGAAAATCACTCAAGAGTCAAAGAAAGAATACAAACATTCCGATGTCTAACATTACAACACTAACCTTATTGACATTACCAAATTCTTTGTTTAATTCCTACATAACAAAATAAAACTTATTAACACATGCATCTAATATTCTAAATATACTATCCATGTACATGCCATGTAAAATCTATGCTGATAGCTGTATGTTTCGGTCATTGTTACAAGTACAGTAAAAACCAGCATACACTTGGTGAAAAAAAGAACTAAATTAACTTGAAAATTGTGCTTTCAAATCTTTAACAGAAATAAGCTATGATCATTACTTTCTAATATGTAAAACACAATCAATCAATTACAACTTAAAGTAAGTGTAAGTATACATACAGTTTTAAAACAGAAGTTTGTCATGTGCTTAGGATGAACACTGAATGCAGATTAAAATTGTATAGCATTTAAATGTGAATAGTAAACTAATACACAATAACATATAACTGTCATAGCTAAGAATATACATACATATATATATATAGTCCACAGAACTGTATATGTGTCACACAATGCAGATATAAAGGGTACAATTAGTCTTAAGAGTATTACAATGAAGTGACAGAACAGTCTAAAAGTGTTACAATATTATTAATCGAGTAACAGAGAAGTATAAAAGTATTATAATCAAGTAACAGAAAAGTATAAAAGTAAAGTAAGAGAAAATATCAAATATCTGCAATTTTGACAGAAAAAAATGGTGTTTGTAAGTTAATTAGGATTTATAGACAAAGACTATCTGATAAACTTGTAAGCTCTTCTAGATTTATATCCCATCAGCATCAAGCATTGTAACAAGCAGTGTGGTTCTATAACCATTCCAACACAACATTCTCAGCTAATTTTAAGATGACTGAATATGATATATAGCTGAATCTTGTGTGAAATTTTGTGACAAAATTTGTTTCCTGGCTTATAATTTTTCTTTCAGTTATAATCAACCAAGGATTTCATATTTAACCTAAATTAAAATTCTCTTCTATAATAGCACGAGGTAGGAACAGCCAGTGGAAAAAAAAACAGTGTGGCACTTCCAATTAAGTGAACCATATTGCGATCAACAATTAATCAATTTTTATCAAGAGACAAAACTGAAAATCTTCACCATTGAACTTGACCTCCATTTTTCATCAGTAACAACATACTAAAATTTGAAAAGCATTGGTTAAACAGTTCAATAGTTAGGCACAGAAATGGCTGGAAGCGCCCACTTGCCAGCTACCCCGCAGTACAACCCCAAATCAGTAACAGGATTTCCAGTTAAAAAGCTTTCCATACGAGTCATGTTTTTTCTGTATCATAGTGTTATAGACCCAAATCAACAATTCTAACATTTATGCTTTCTTTTTTGGGACCATATTACATTCTCAATAGACCATTTGCAAGAAAATATGTTAAATTGCTGTAAAACAAATGACTTTTCCTTTTTCATATAATTACACTTTACTGATCTGCAGCTTACAATACATCAATAAATATGATTATTTAAGAAATAATTCATGGGGGCTTGAATATATCGTGATTTTACCACGGGTTGGCCCTTTATGACAAATATTTTACCCTGAGCGATACCGAGGGGTAAAATATCGGCATAAAGGGACAACTCGTGGTAAAATCACGATATATTCAAGCCCCCATGAATTATTTCGATTCTAATAGGACAAATACGACAATTGTTTTGGATCGAAGCGCTCTAGATGAAGGCATTATTTGCCGTTCCCATAAATAAACGCACTATTAAATTGACGTAAAAGACCGGAGCAAACTGAATAAATGACATGCTTAAACTATTTACAATAGCATATTTAGATAGGTTTGGATGAATCTAAATGATAATTGTACTTATATGTCTTATATGTATACAAAAAATGCTTATATAACACATTTTAGCATCGTTTGTTTACGTTTCCTTGTTGTGATGATTTTCGGTTTCACAAGCGTGTATTTTCGTGTAAAATGCTTATATTCTTATGTCATCGTTCTATGACGTCGGGTAGCTAATTCACAAAAAAGCATATGACGCGGGAGAACGATCGGAACAGCCCAAACAATATATTCATATTTTACCACGGGTGTGTACTCAAAGCGTTTGAAGAACGTCATGTTAGAATGTGGAATTAATATCTATATTCAGTCATCATCTATCTAAGTTTTAAAATTATCTGAGAGTTGTGATTGTTTCCCTACATGCAAACTTAAAGATAATCTATCTGATTAAGTGATTGACAGATAAGAGAGAAATAACTCTGAAATTTACCTGTAATGTCTCCTCCTCTGAGACCTGTTATAATCAAGATCACATGATAATCATATGATTACCAAACTTAAAATAGCATCATCCACCATTAAACTTTGTCAGTCTGATAAACTTGTTACAGTTATAGTTTATAATTATACAACTTCCGTGGATACATTATTATTATTTGTATCTCAATTTTTGTAGATTTTATGAGCAAAGGTAAACCATGTGTATTTAAATGTTCAACAAAGTAGAAATATTCTATAGCTTTGTATGTAGACTTAGGCAAAACCATGAAATTAAGTATCCACAAAAAGACAAGTTTTCCTCAATCTGTATAAATTGATACCGTTGGAAATAATAAATCCACAGTATATGGAACAGTGTAGTTTGCTAGGTAAATGGTGTATTTGTAAAGAATTTAAAAAAAATCAAAAAATCTTGGGATTGATTGACTGATTGATTGTTGTTTGTTTAAACATCCTATAAATTAGGAATAAATAACTGAAATACATTACAAGTGAGGAAAGGAGATACTTAGTTTAGTGTCCAAAACTTCTATTTGTAATACAGTATACATATTTCAGAACTATTTGTAATACAGTATACATATTTCAGAACTATTTGTAATACTGTATACATATTTCAGAACTATTTGTATATGGTATTTTCACAGGAAAAACAAACTTTCATTCGTAAATATAGCTCAACATGCAGACTTCTTATACGTTCAGGTATTTCACATCCAATTTTTTAAGGAAATATTCTTTATAAAGCACAAAAATGTCAGTATTCACCTCTGAAGCTAACAAAACCTTTAAATAGACTTATTAAGAAGGGATATAGTTACAATACTGTTGTCAGGTCATTAAAGATTGCATATTTTGGCGTTAATATTGATTCACTTATAGGGTCTTTGCATCGGCACTAAACACATTTATTTAAAAACCAGTTGTTGGCATGACAAGGGTTATGTTCTTCTCATATATGTTATGATGGTATGATACTAAACCCCTAACGGGAAGGATTGTGCCTGATATTCATATGATGAAGACATAATCTTTCAATCAGTTTAATTGAAGTCTGGAGCTGGCATGTCAGTTAACTGCTAGTAGTCTGTTGTTATTTATGTATTATTGTCATTTTGTTTTTTTTCTTTGGTTACATCTTCTGACATCAGACTCGGACTTCTCTTGAACTGAATTTTATTGTGCGTATTGTTATGCGTTTACTTTTCTACATTGGCTAGAGGTATAGGGGGAGGGTTGAGATCTCATAAACATGTTTAACCCCGCCGCATTTTTGCGCCTGTCCCAAGTCAGGAGCCTCTAGCCTTTGTCAGTCTTGTATTATTTTTAATTTAAGTTTCTTGTGTACAATTTGGAGTTTAGTATGGCGTTCATTATCACTGAACTAGTATATATATTTGTTTAGGGGCCAGCTAAAGGACGCCTCCGGGTGCGGGAATTTCTCGCTGCATTGAAGACCTGTTGGTGACCTTCTGCTGTTGTCTGTTCTATGGTCTGGTTGTTGTCTCTTTGACACATTCCCCATTTCCATTCTCAATTTTATTTCAACATTTTTATAAACTGACTGATTAAATTTCTTTTCATCTTATTTAAATGTAAAGTATCTTGAAAAAACATTATTTAGCTGAGTACATAAAAATGTTACAGGGATATTCCTCAGTGGTGGTTTGAATTTCCATTGAAGCCTTTAAAGTTTTTTCATTGGAAGAAACTGCTGGTGGTGATACAACGAAAGATATAATTTAATACATATAACATTGTTATAAAACATAATCAGTTTGATATAAATTAACTACTTTATATATCGAATAATTACCCCTGATTTGGCATTGACAGCCTGGCCTAACCCACCACCAGTAAACTGGTCCTCTTGTTGATTTACATAAGCACTGTAAAGAACATATTGATAAAATTATGCACTGTAATAAACATGCAAGATCTATAATACATTCAGATACATGAACTGTCTTCAAAGAAACATTATGTTAAGATAAAATACTGGGAAAAAATTATAACAGGTTTTACTTTTTTATAAACAATACAAGTTATCATTGACTTTTATCAACCAAAACATCCATGAACCAGAATGTGTCCATAGTACACGGATGCCCCACTCGCACAATCATTTTCTATGTTCAGTGGACAGTGAAATTGGGGTCAAAACTCTAATTTGGCATTAAAATTAGAAAGATCATTTCTTAGGGAACATGACTATGTGTTTCAAGTTGACTGGACTTCAACTTCATCAAAAAATACCTTGACCAAAAACTTTAACCTGAAGCGGGACAGACTGACGGATGGATGGAAGGACGGATGAATAGACGAACAGATGCACTGACTGAAAAACATAATAGTGGGGCATAAAAATAATGCTGTTACCATTTGCATATCATTTATATACACTAATCTTGTAAATAAAAAGAGATGTGAAATAAAAGCCTAAGAGACAGCAACCTAATGATTGAAAAAATAACCAGAAGACATCTTTAAGGCCAACGTACAGTCTTCCAATAACCAGAAGACATCTTTAGGCCAACGTACAATCTTCCAATAATCAGAAGACATCTTTAGGCTAATGTACAGTCTTCCAATAACCAGAAGACATCGTTAGGCCAACGTACAGTCTTCCAATAACCAGAAGACATCTTTAGGCCAACGTACAGCCTTCCAATAGACAGAAGACATCTTTAGGCCAACGTACAGTCTTCCAATACCCAGAAGACATCTTTAGGCCAACGTACAGCCTTCCAATAGACAGAAGACATCTTTAGGCCAACGTACAGTCTTCCAATAACCAGAAGACATCTTTAGGCCAACTTACAGCCTTCCAATAGACAGAAGACATCTTTAGGCCAACGTACAGTCTTCCAATAACCAGAAGACATCTTTAGGCCAACGTACAGTCTTCCAATAGACAGGTGTCTATACAATAGGTCAAGATCTAAATCATTGGTAAACACCAAATTTTATTAAATAAAAAAAAAATAAACATTGACATAAGACAACCATTGTCAAGTTTCAATTGACCAAGGTATTAAATTCAAGCTATATACCTGTATTTCGTCTTAATAGTTAACTCTGTCTGTAAGGACCATTTTCAATCAGTAAATTCATGTAATTTGAATGAAACACCAGGTAAGTTTACTTCTCATAAAATGAAATTGTTGTATCAATCAATTTCAACTTGCAAATTGGGTTTTGATCACAGGATGCTAAACTGTGGTAGATATTCTATGGGTTGTATATATAATTCTATCAAAATGAACAGTGGTCAACCTAGATTGAGGTATAAATCTAAGAATATATCTAAATAAGAGTGAAATATATGTTATTAGCTTACCCTTGTGTTTTAACTTTATTCTGTTCAAAGGACTGTCGTGACTGAGCAAACATATCAAAATCATCACTTTGTTTGGGTGCAGTATTGGAACCAATGTCTACAGTACAGTTATAAGTAATACATTAATTCAAATAAACAAAATATTTAAATACCTTATGATTTAAGGTTTAGGACTGTTCTATTAAATCATACATGGTACCAAGTAAAGGCACTTTGAAAATAGAATAACAACTTATAGGTCAATTTTGAAGACCTGCATATATTTTAAACTTGAACAACATAATATTTCACACCCAACCATAGTGACCAATACAAGTCGTCTTCCCTGGGTTCCATGTATGTTTTTATGGAACAGCCCTTAGATATGAATCTAATGTTTCCATTCAAATTCCCTGAATTTGTGTGTTTTTGATGAAAGAGTTAACATTTCAAGACATTTTAAAAACATTATTCTGATCATTATTGATAACGTTCTGTAGAAAATACTTCAGGTTTATTAAGAATGAGAAAAAATTAAAAAATAAATTAGATAGGTAGGTTCTACAAAGTGGAATGACCTGGATGAAGGGTAGGAGATTTAAAGGGGAACTTGAAAAAGAAGTAATGTTTGATAGGACAAAATATTTTACTCTCAACAGTACAGCTAAGAATATATATAAGATCAGTTGCAAGGGTTCTTAAGCATGCAGAAAGCCTGGAAATCTCCCTTCATTAGACATTGAATTTACTAGTATACCAATTCCACCCTCAAGAGGCTTTGTAATTATACTTTCAAACAGTCATATAACCCTGTATTGCATTATCAAAGAAAAAAGTAAATAAATTATTTCAAATAAGCAGTTTACATTCAACACAATTGTGTGAGGCTACTTATATCAAATTCAATAATAAACTATAACTCCTCTCAAATGTCCACAAAAATTAATGTATAATTGCAAATAATCAACTTCCACTCGTTCCCAATCTAAAAACATATATGCCATATAATTTCAATACAAACAAAACGTCTATATTTCATTTTTAGCCCATTTCACCAATTGTACAATCAGGAATATCAGATGGTACCTGAACTTATGTCGCAACAATGATATTTTCATCTTATTAGAAAAATAATAACAATTATACTAATAAATAAGCTTGATTTAGAGTCAGCATGGTAACAAAACAAAAAGACACACATACACTCTACTGAGCTTTTAAACCCCATTAGCTAAATCTTCATTGGAAGATTTGTTAACTCCGTTTAGACTTACAGTTAGTCAATAATGATGTATGGTGACAGTAGACTTACTCATATTCTGCATCTGTGTATTTATTGGCGGTAAGTGACCTGGTGCCTGTACCATTCCATCGTCTCCCAGATCTATCAGATTAGCAATAGGTGGATTTGATGTATCTTCTACCTATAAAATAAAAGTTCTGGTAATTTACAAGAAGTCTGATAAATACTATGTCTCCAAACTCAAATACTTCATATCTGTCTGCTTCTTAATCAATCAATCACCTCTGAGAACTATTATACATACATGTGCATATTGCTCACCACAATATAACCTTTTTGTGCTGAGGCAGTGTAAAGCGAACATCAATCAATCAAATATTTTTCTTCCTGCCTACCAAATGAAATTCTGGTAAAAAAAATCCAATTGAAAAATCATCTGTAGTAAGCAGTATGTTTTGAATAAAAATGCACACATTGTCGTGGTAAGCATATCCTGACTCAATAATTCAAAGTATAGGAAGTAGGTGTCTGACAGATCTGAAAATCGAACATATGATTATATTACAACCCATCACGGTCAAGCTGCTGACCAAATATACAGTCATTTTGTTTAGTATTATTTGAGAAATTTGTGACATTAATATTTAAGTTCAATCAACATATTGAAAAATTTAAAGTATTAGCATGCAGGCAGTAGTTATCAAACAGATCTGAAAAGTGCTCACACATTACAACTCATCTCTTTTAAGCTGCTGATTATATATTAAGTCATTCTGTTTAGTAGTTTCTGAGAAAAGTGTAACTAAAATCTGTTGAATGAACAGACAGACAGACAAGGTGATTGCAATATAGCCCCACCCTTTAGAGTAAGTATATAATAAGTAAATCTTACCTGATTATAAGAAGGTGGAGACACTACTGGTTCTGTAGTTGGTGTATCTAATTTTTTCAGGTCTGTTTGTGATTGGCCAGTTCTGTAACGTTCAAATCTTTCATAACGTAAAAATACATTATTTATATCATCATTCACTCTCAGAAGTTCATCTGAAATAGAAAGGACATGAACTTAGTACTAATTTATAATTAATATATACTTTATTGTGTAGATGATAGGTTGATTCTTTTCTTAGCACTTTGTTGCCTTTGCCCTAAAGTTTAAATCATCCTTAATAGGATTTTTTCAGGATTACAACTGTACCTTAATATGTATTATCATTCTATTATAGTCACCTAAACGATCACACTTTTTTACATCATTTTTGTTATTTGGCGAACTTTGCCCTTTGTTGAAAGCTTGGGAATATTCAAATTTCATATGATTGTTTAAAATGCAGCAGTATTAGCAGGCAGATGAACCTTGTTAAGAGAAACATTTACAACTTACTATCAATCTATACACCTAATATAGTTGACCTTTTATCCATAATTATAGAAAACTAGATGTGTGGGACCGACATGAATGGCTCGCTCACAAAAAAACTTAAAGCCATTTTTAGGAGTGGAAATTTGAGAATGAAAGTCCATATAACTGTTATTTTCACGAAATTTTCAAATTCCAAAGCCTGTTGTTTTGGCAAAATTAGCAGAACGGATCCAAATGTTAACTCGATCTGTAACTCATCATAGTAAGACTCACATACAATCAAAGCGCGAAAGCGCTGTAAAGGCAGTTAATTACAGGTTGTGTGTATTTTTAGTCCAGTTATATCAATATCTTGCATAGAACATTGTACTTATCAGAGGTGTCTTTCAGTATTTAAGATTTAGAGTTCTCTAATGATATTGAACAAGTTTTATGAATGTCATATTCTGAGCACTATATGAAGGCGATTGTTCTCATTTGTTTATGAACTAGTGCATTATGTCCAGTTTGTACCTTTTTTATCTATGTTTATAGTCAAATACTGTTAAAAATAGTTTTGCATTTTCTTTTTAGTAATAAGTAAATGTTATCAACTGTATTTTATTCGACTTTGCAAATGTGGTTTGTTACTGGTAAGTACAATGTATGGGTGATAGTTGTTTCATTGGCAATCATGACACATCTCCTTATTTATATAATGATCTATATTCAACGACCTCAGGTACAAAAAAAATGTATGTAACTAAACTATGATGGGAAAACTTTGACTTCTTTCTTTTATATAAACTTTTGACTTGGTACCATAAAACTATGTAGAATAAATGTACATTGCAACATGTCAACTCTTTCAATGACAATACTTTTTTTAGAAACTATAACTCCAAGCAAAATTATATTTCCAAGTATAAATTTAAAGTAATTTATGAATGAAACAAGAGTGCACACGCTGAAATGTCTCGCCTTCTTTACTAATCATTGATATTATGTTGATAGTCCTAAATATAAAGCTTTATTACAACTGTCACATAAACTTAACATTAACCAAGTAAACTAAACATTGACCAATGAACCAAGAAAATGAGGTCAAGGTCAGATGAACCATGCTAGGCAGGCATGTACAGCTAACAATTCTTCCATACAACAAATATAGTTGACCTATTGCTTATAATTTAAGAAAAACAGACCAAAACACAAAAACTTAAAACTGAGCAATGAACCTTGAAAATGAGGTCAAGGTAAAAAAAAACATGCGTGACTGACAAATAGATCATAAAATATTTCCATACACCAAATATAGATGAACTATTGCATATAGTATTAGAAAAAAAGACCAAAACTCAAAAACTTAACTTTGACCACTGAACCATGAAAATGAGGTCAAGATCAGATGACACCTGCCAGCTAGACATGTACACCTTACAATCATTCCATACACCAAATATAGTAGACCTATTGCATACAGTATAAGAAAAACAGACCAAAACACAAAAACTTAACTATAACCACTGAACCATGAAAATGAGGTCAAGGTCAGATAACACCTGCCAGTTGGACAGTCCTTCCATACACCGAATATACTAGACCTATTGCTTATAGTATCTGAGATATGGACTTGACCACCAAAACTTAAACTTGTTCACTGATCCATGAAATGAGGTCGAGGTCAAGTGAAAACTGTCTGATGGGCATGAGGACCTTGCAAGGTACGCACATACCAAATATAGTTATCCTATTACTTATAATAAGAGAGAATTTAACATTACAAAAAATCATAACTTTTTTTTCAAGTAGTCACTGAACCATGAAAATGAGGTCAAGGACATTGGACATGTGACTGACGGAAACTTCGTAACATGAGGCATCCATATACAAAGTATGAAGCATCCAGACCTTCCACCTTCTAAAATATAAAGCTTTTAAGAAGTTAGCTAACGCCGCCACCGGATCACTATCCCTATGTCGAGCTTTCTGCGACAAAAGTCGCAGGCTCGACAAAAAGGAGTTCTTAATTAAGAAATAAACTGATTCGCTGAGCGCAGCTGGATACACCTGCAGAGGTCCAACCCTGAACAGTTGGGGCAAAAATGGACACAATATTCAAGCTTGATACAGGTCTGAATTTGGATTGTAATTAAATATTTGACATATTATAGTTTCTGAATAAATGTAGTCAAAGAACTTGAAATCAGTTATATGAATTGAATTTATATTCAATTAAAGATTTCTTGCTATAAACAAATAAAGTTCAAATTCTTCTCAATGTCATATTTGAAATTTATGAAAATCAATAGGGAGATTACATCAATAGCTATAAATAATTCACCAAAGTTTCATGCAAACTGCTTAAAGCATTTTTGGGTTGTTGTCCAAAAACTGGAAAATCCCCCCTTTTTTAATGAATAAAACCCCACAACTCAGAAATGTAAAATCTAAAATTTATAAAATTCTAAAGGGAGCTTACGGATTGATAATTTAGTCTTAGATGCAAGATTTTTTTATCAGTTGTTAGTGGCTTTGAACTAGCTGTCAGTAAATGCGAGTACTCTCAGATCTGTACTTAGTGTCTTTTAGTTGTTTGGATGTACAACTACCAGGCCACGTCCACTTGTATTTGTATTTATCCATCTGATGAGTTAAGCCTCTTTCAACTCATTTTTATAGTTCGTTCTTATATTGTACTGTTACACCACTGTCCCAGGTTAGGGGGTGGGTTGGGATCCCGCTAACATGTTTAACCCGGCCACATTCTGTATGTACATGTATGTGCCTGTCCCAAGTCAGGAGCCTGTAATTCAGTGGTTGTCGTTTGTTTATGTGTTGCATATTTGTTATTCGTTCATTTTTTGTACATAAATTAGGCCGTTAGTTTTCTTGTTTGAATTGTTTTACATTGTCATTTCTGGGCCTTTTATAGCTCACTGTGCGGTATGTGCTTTGCTCATTGTTGAAGGACGTACTGTGACCTATAGCTGTTAATTTCTGTGTCATTTGGTCTCTTGTGGAGAGTTGTCTCATTGGCAATCATACCACATCTTCTTTTTTATATTTACATCAACAGATACATATAAACAATTCACCAAAGTCAAACTTAGTTGTAAGATCTCTGAAATTTTTTACACGGTACAAGTTTTTCTAATTGTTGGAGATTGTACAGTGACAGTAACACCTGTAACTGCTTAACCCATTTCTTATGCACTTTGGTTCGATAAACTCACTGAATATCATACCACATCTCCTTATTTTTTTATGCATTACAATTTACATGTGCATGTAATTGTAAATAATATTTATCATATATATATCAGAACAAACTTCATTGCGTCACTTTTATTTATGCATCCTTTGGCACAATACAAGTTCTAAAATTACACAACATATAACAACTAAATGTTATTTCAGATGAAAGTTTTGTTTCAGTTATATTCATAGGATTTATTAGAATTTTGTATGTTTTGCCAAGTCTAATAATTAGCTCTATGTGCACGTGTTAATTGGAGACTTTTCTATCCCGTATAAGAGTTTTGGAGCTAATTCTGTTTCTTTTTTTGAAAAAAGTGAGCAAACAAATCTTGCACATTTAAACCTTTGTCTGCCATCACACTGTCACCTGGGTCACATAATTGAACTACACATGTATTCTACATCTTTCAACTATTTCACAGTCACTGGTACAACCAACATATGCATTAGAGACATACATTTTTGTAGTTGACTAAACCACCAGGTGTCGAACATACATGTACAAGTATTTTCAGTGTTTCTGTTTTTATATGATGAAAAGGTTGCCTGAGCTCTAGGAGCTTTATGTTTTATCACGGGATATTCTGTGCTGTCAATAATAATCCAAGTTGTAGGAAACTTTAATTTGAAGTTGGATGGCGAAAAATACCTGACTAAACCACTAAATGGCCAAGTGTTAGCCTCACGCCACTGTTTAGACATAAAAACAATCCATGTTTACACAATATTCTTAACACTAGTTTCAATCTAGAATCTAGACAGTTCAAAGTTGGTTGTATAATGCCTCAATTTCATCAAAGTCATAAAAAAAATGATTTTCAAATGACATCCTATCAATTTGAAAATATATGTATCTCAAACAATGTGCTGCTGGACCAAGTGTGGTCAAAACAAATAAAAATTTAGTATACAACTCTAAACTGGTATAAAAATGCAAGGCTGTGTCACGTGTCTTCATTTCAAAATTCTCTGCTGAAAATATAGGCATTGATGGTGTTTGCGTAATTCCATCTGTGAAGCTCAACATTAGCTCGGCAGTTGGTGGTGGACAGTCATAAATCCTGTCTGCAGTATGAATGACTTCTTCAGGAAAACCAACTTTACAATCAAAACTTTTGCGGACGATTCAGTCTCTTGCTTGATCCAGGAAAATAGGCTGGGAATGGCAGTAGACTTAAGTCTCTGTATGGAGGGTTTGCCCTCTGAAAAAGGTTATAAAACATTAGTTTTTTGATAATTAAATGAACTTCCATTAGCAATGCATACTTTGTACTACCTGGCAAAATATTAACTAGACTTATTCATTACAATCTGGATAAAACTACATGTATGTTAGCCTGATTCAATGTACATCAAAATGTATGTTATGTAAATCCAAAGGACAAACAATGAGAGACGTATGCAACAAACATACATTGTTTGTACCTAAATAACTATAATATAGATGAGAGCATGTCATTGTTTTGTTCCTGTTAACATTGTCATTGATATTTTTCAAGAAAGTCTACGAGGCATAGCTTATGCATTCCTGTCATTACTACATTAGCATAATTACTGCTAAAATAATTCTCAGTATGATATACCTCTTGTAAGAAATCATTATAATTGTAGCAAGCACCAAAAAATCTCAAACAGATCACACTGAATCGTAATCCAAAAAATTATGACGTCTTGAATTAACCACCCCCTTTTATTCTAAAACGATAATTGCGGTTGTAAACAGACTTTGGTTTATTCGCATGGCGATTACATATATAACTATATATTTTAAAAAGAAAATAGAGTTTTACCATGAATAGTTTCCTGCACGTAGTCTTTTTCAGTAAAATGTGCCTTGCAAACAACAGCTGATTGAGATGGACTCCACGATTTCACCGTGTTCTCGTCCAATCTGCGTATGGGCCATGGCGTTGATCCAACTTTTCCTTCTTTTTAAGTCATTTGGAAATGCATGTCCTCCTCTTAAATGACATCCAGGTACACAACAACAAGTACTTGGCATCGTTAATTAAAAATGCAACTGTAATAGTTGCACAGTGCAGAAACCGGAAGTTGAAGAACAGGATCGGCTACGACGGCGCCACCTATTCAGGAACGATAATTTGCTACTTTATATAACTGCGGAATAACAATAACGTTAGACGGGTTCGCGTGCATAAACAGAAATGCGCTTTAAATTGTATAATATAATTCATGTTCAGTCGACCTTTAATTATTACATCAACGACTGAAATGATTTATAAACATCTAGATTGCAGATAACACTCGAAATTAACCCGACCTCTTTACACACGGAATTCAAATAATTCTAGTTTGTCAATCGGTTGACTGCTTATAATGTAAAATACAAATATATCAAAAGTTTTTAAAACTAACAAAACACAATGATCGTTTCTCTATTTCCCAATGTAAATGAAATGAAACAAAAAACATTTTATATCACAATAAGAAGAGGAGAGAATCAACATTTTCCGGATCTACTTGGAGCCTAATGACCCCCCACGTAGATAAGTTGGATATCGCGCAAAGAAAGATTAGCACGGCAACTAGAAAGGCATTAAAGCACTGCCTTTAAAAAACCAGCTCAATATGTGAAGGCATTTAGAAAAAAGTCTGTATAACTGTTCCATCTGTAACTCATCATACATGTAGTAGACTCACATACTAAAAATCAGCTCAATATGAGAAGTCTTTTAGAAAAAAAGTCCATATAACTGTTCGTTGCAGAATGACAGAATGACGGATAAGGGTAAAACTATACGGCCCCCACAACTTTGTTGCGGGGCCATAAAAATTATGTGATATAAAAACTATGCAATTTTTTAATCTGTCATTGCTTTATACCTAACTTTATGCTGTTTTGGCTTATCATTCCAATATCATGAATTTGTAAGACATGAGATAACAAGATGTACTGTGAACTGTTACAAACAGTATAGCATGCTCATATGAAGCTTGATACCAAATTTCAGAAAGCTCTAATTTTTCATTATAATAAAAAATTGAAACAAAAAACTCATAGGATGGACCAACAGACAAGAGGTAAAGCAGTATCCCTCACACTTTGAACAGAAGTTAGATCAAATATTGATCTACATGAATATGTAGTCTTGAGTTTTTAGTATTTAAAACATTTTTACAAATATTGGTGAATTGGACTTGTATACATTTGTAAATAGTAAACATTCGACAAGGTTGTTTTTCTCAGTCCGTCTATAATGTCTGTACAAAAAACCTTTTGTTAGTTGTTTTTGTTCTAAGTACTAATCTGATGAATCAAGCCCTTTCCAACTCATTTTCAGTTTGTTGGTATGTTCACTGAAATATCACAGTCCAAGGTCAGACTCACAGTCACAGTTAGGTTAACACAAAAAAATGTATCCCTGCAAATTAAGTGTGTTAACAGTGACTTACTAGTAACTTCTTCATTGGTTATTTTATCTAACAAATCAAGTTTGTTAACAGTCACTTACTAGTAACTTCTTCATTGGCTATTTTATCTAACAAATCAAGATTGTTAACAGTCACTTTCTAGTAACTTCTTCATTGGCTATTTTATCTTATAAATCTAGTTTGTTAACACTCACTTACTAGTAACTTCTTCATTGGCTATTTTATCTAATAAATCTAGTTTGTTAACAGTGACTTACTAGTAACTTCTTCATTGGCTATTTTATCTAATAAATCTAGTTTGTTAACAGTGACTTACTAGTAACTTCTTCATTGGCTATTTTATCTAACAAATCAAGTTTATTAACAATCACTTACTAGTAACTTATTCATTGGCTATTTTATCTAATAAATCTAGTTTGTTAACAGTGACTTACTAGTAACTTCTTCATTGGCTATTTTATCTAACAAATCAAGTTTACTTACAGTCACTTACTAGTAACTTATTCATTTGATATTTTATCTAATCAATCAAGTTTATTAACAGTCATTTACTAGTACTTATTCATTGGCTATTTTATCTAATAAATCTAGTTTGTTAACAGTGACTTACTAGTAACTTCTTCATTGGCTATTTTATCTAACAAATCAAGTTTATTAACAGTCACTTACTAGTAACTTATTCATTGGCTATTCTATCTAATAAATCAACTTTATTAACAGTCACTTACTAGTAACTTATTCATTGGCTATTTTATCTAATAAATCTAGTTTGTTAACAGTGACTTACTAGTAACTTCTTCATTGGTTATTTTATCTAACAAATCAAGTTTGTTAACAGTCACTTTCTAGTAACTTCTTCATTGGCTATTTTATCTAACAAATCAAGATTGTTAACAGTCACTTACTAGTAACTTCTTCATTGGCTATTTTATCTGATAAATCTAGTTTGTTAACACTCACTTACTAGTAACTTCTTCATTGGCTATTTTATCTAATAAATCTAGTTTGTTAACAGTGACTTACTGGTAACTTCTTCATTGGCTATTTTATCTAACAAATCAAGTTTATTAACAGTCACTTACTAGTAACTTATTCATTGGCTATTTTATCTAATAAATCTAGTTTGTTAACAGTGACTTACTAGTAACTTCTTCATTGGCTATTTTATCTAACAAATCAAGTTTATTAACAGTCACTTACTAGTAACTTATTCATTTGATATTTTATCTAATCAATCAAGTTTATTAACAGTCACTTACTAGTAACTTATTCATTGGCTATTATATCTAATAAATCTAGTTTGTTAACAGTGACTTACTAGTAACTTCTTCATTGGCTATTTTATCTAACAAATCAAGTTTATTAACAGTCACTTACTAGTAACTTATTCATTGGCTATTCTATCTAATAAATCAAGTTTATTAACAGTCACTTACTAGTAACTTATTCATTGGCTATTTTATCTAATAAATCTAGTTTGTTAACAGTGACTTACTAGTAACTTCTTCATTGGTTATTTAATCTAACAAATCAAGTTTATTAACAGTCATTTACTAGTAACTTCTTCATTGGCTATTTTATCTAACAAATCAAGTTTGTTAACAGTCACTTACTAGTAACTTCTTCATTGGCTATTTTATCTAATAAATCTAGTTTAACACTCACTTACTAGTAACTTCTTCATTGGCTATTTTATCTAACAAATCAAGTGTGTTAACAGTCACTTACTAGTAACTTCTTCATTGGCTATTTTATCTAACAAATCAAGTTTGTTAACAGTGACTTACTAGTAACTTCTTCATTTGTTATTTTATCTAATAAATCTAGTTTGTTAACAGTGACTTACTAGTAACTTCTTCATCGGCTATTTTATCTAATAAATCTAGTTTGTTAACAGTGACTTACTAGTAACTTCTTCATTGGCTATTTTATCTAACAAATCAAGTTTATTAACAGTCACTTACTAGTAACTTATTCATTGGCCATTTTATCTAATAAATCTTGTTTGTTAACAGTGACTTACTAGTAACTTCTTCATTGGCTATTTTATCTAACAAATCAAGTTTATTAACAGTCACTTACTAGTAACTTATTCATTTGATATTTTATCTAATCAATCAAGTTTATTAACAGTCACTTACTAGTAACTTATTCATTGGCTATTTTATCTAATAAATCTAGTTTGTTAACAGTGACTTACTAGTAACTTCTTCATTGGCTATTTTATCTAATAAATCTAGTTTGTTAACAGTGACTTACTGGTAACTTCTTCATTGGCTATTTTATCTAACAAATCAAGTTTATTAACAGTCACTTACTAGTAACTTATTCATTGGCTATTTTATCTAATAAATCTAGTTTGTTAACAGTGACTTACTAGTAACTTCTTCATTGGCTATTTTATCTAACAAATCAAGTTTATTAACAGTCACTTACTAGTAACTTATTCATTTGATATTTTATCTAATCAATCAAGTTTATTAACAGTCACTTACTAGTAACTTATTCATTGGCTATTATATCTAATAAATCTAGTTTGTTAACAGTGACTTACTAGTAACTTCTTCATTGGCTATTTTATCTAACAAATCAAGTTTATTAACAGTCACTTACTAGTAACTTATTCATTGGCTATTCTATCTAATAAATCAAGTTTATTAACAGTCACTTACTAGTAACTTATTCATTGGCTATTTTATCTAATAAATCTAGTTTGTTAACAGTGACTTACTAGTAACTTCTTCATTGGTTATTTTATCTAACAAATCAAGTTTATTAACAGTCATTTACTAGTAACTTCTTCATTGGCTATTTTATCTAACAAATCAAGTGTGTTAACAGTCACTTACTAGTAACTTCTTCATTGGCTATTTTATCTAACAAATCAAGTTTGTTAACAGTGACTTACTAGTAACTTCTTCATTTGTTATTTTATCTAATAAATCTAGTTTGTTAACAGTGACTTACTAGTAACTTCTTCATCGGCTATTTTATCTAATAAATCTAGTTTGTTAACAGTGACTTACTAGTAACTTCTTCATTGGCTATTTTATCTAACAAATCAAGTTTATTAACAGTCACTTACTAGTAACTTATTCATTGGCCATTTTATCTAATAAATCTTGTTTGTTAACAGTGACTTACTAGTAACTTCTTCATTGGCTATTTTATCTAACAAATCAAGTTTATTAACAGTCACTTACTAGTAACTTATTCATTTGATATTTTATCTAATCAATCAAGTTTATTAACAGTCACTTACTAGTAACTTATTCATTGGCTATTTTATCTAATAAATCTAGTTTGTTAACAGTGACTTACTAGTAACTTCTTCATTGGCTATTTTATCTAATAAATCAAGTTTGTTAACAGTCACTTACTAGTAACTTCTTCATTGGCTATTTTATCTAATAAATCAAGTTTGTTAACAGTCACTTACTAGTAACTTCTTCATTTGCTATTTTATCTAATAAATCTACTAATCTTTGCTGCATTTGTCTGTTTGTACGATTCAATTCCTGTAAGGAAACAATGAAATATAATATTTCATTAGTCATGCACTGGTAATAACGATTTCATATATTGTCATATCTAATAGTGATAGTTTGATGTCAAAAATGAGCTATACAAGCATTATTTGTCACTAAAAGTGGTACTATGATTTCAATATTCTTTAATGACAATTGCATAGCATTCCATCAGTTCTGCTATCATCCCAACACTCCCATATCAGATTGAGATATTTATATGCTGAACTTTTTCATTAAAAATAATATTGTGACTGACATTGATATTTTCTTTTCATAAATACTGAATGACAAATGTTTTGTTGTTGAATTTATGGAGTCCTTTTGAATAAATTTCAAGTATCATTCTCTGAACTAGAAACTACAAATGAATTACAATATTTACTGAAAAAGACTTTTACTATAACATTACAAGAAATAAAAGAAGAATGTGTCTGAGGACCTGAATGCCCACACTCAATCTTTGCAATTTTCCAAGTTAAAAAGGGGCATAACTCTAGAACAGTAAATGACTCACTGCCCAAATTCGAACTCTGTCTGCGTGTTGTGGTTCTTAGCATTGTGTATGAGTTTCATAAAATTTGCATAATGCAATCTTAAGTTGGAGTGTGAAAGCAAAAAAATTGCAATTTTCTGTTATAAAGGGGCATAACTCTAGAACAGTAAGCGACTCACTGCCCAAATTTGAACTCTGTGTGTTGTGGTTCTTAGAATTGTGTATAAGTTTCATAAAATTTGCATGAGACAAAATTACATTAAGAGTGCGGAAATGAAAATGGGATGGACAGAAGGACAGTAAAATATTGTTGTACATTTAAAAAATCTTTTTTTACTGATTTTATACAGAATATTTGTTTATGATAGAGAATTTTTATCAAAGTCCACTATCAAAAACCTTTTCCCTACCTTAAACCAAAACTTAACCTGATACAGGATGGATGGATGGACAGATTAAGGTACAGATGCACAAACCAGAAAACATTACCAGTCTCTTCTATTGTAGCATTGGCATAAAAATAAAATACACTTGCGTAAGGAAATTCAGCAGACAGATCTATATTGGATGCATTAGGTCTTTTTACAAGGTCTACATTTTACATGTAGGAGTTAAAAATCATGTAGTTACCTGTAGCAATTCTAAATCTGATGGATCTACACTCGATGGATCAAGTTCTGTTAACATGTCTCCCATTACTTTAATATTTGCGTTGACAACAGTCAGTTCATTTTTTAACTTTGCCATTTGTTCAGATGTTGGATTAATGGGACCTGGTGGCACTACTGGTATTTGTGGTGGTTGGTCCTACAAACAGTAACAAAGCATGAGGTGAATATATTCATCTATAAAATGCACATACAATTAAGCTTCTATTAAAACTTATAATAGTGACTGCCTTATTTCTATTTAGTTTTTTCTTTAATAAAATATATGCACCTGAAAGTTTTTGTGGAAAAAAAATTAATTTAGACAAGCAATAGCCATAATGATCTATTAAAAATAATGTAGTCAAGTTAATCTAAATATTTAAAGCTTAAGAGGTATATAACATAATTAAATCTATAAACAAGTATTATATAAAACACAACCTACTTATAATATACCATCTTAAAATAAAAGGCATTGTGTATTTGGCAAAATACAACTTGAACATACAATTCAATCAACCAAAGCAAGTCATCATTTTTAATTCCTGAATTTCTTTAATAATAACCTACATTTATGAAGTCCAAGCTTAAAATACACTAAAATGTATAAATTTAAAAGCTACAAATGTAACTTTATCTCACAACTAACATCATAAAGTTTTGAAGTTGAATGAAAAAACAAGATGTATGAACCTGCACATGCTTTTTTCACTCACAAATAGCATTCATACAAATTTGTTGTCACTTGAAAAAATGAAAAAAAATGTATGAATCTGTACATGCAACTTTCACTAACAAATAACAATATTCAATAAATTACAAATCTTGCAAGCCTCAGAACATTTGTTTTTCCTTTGTCTCTATAAATAGATCTCACATTTACACTAATCATGTACATCTACTTCATACTTCCTCATTGTTTTAGATCTTATTAATAAATGTAATATTGATAGATTGTCATGGCACATTATCCACCAATAAGGGTTAAGTTTCCTTTTACAGTGCACATCTAATTTTTTTTTCAAAACTTGACAGATGTGATTGAGTGTCTAATGAACTATAAGACTGGAGTAGATGCATGAACTGTCAAAAGTGGGTAGCAATGAACAATCAGACTGGAGTAGATGCATGAACTCTCAAAAGTGGGAAGCAATGAAACAGACAGCTGAACTGTCAAAATTGGGCCGTTTTAATTTAAATACAACAAAATAAATCACATCCACAAAGTTTGCAGTTGCCAAAGATAAGATTGAGAAGACAGCAAATTTTGAAAACCCAACATTTGTATCTTTTTAAGAACATTGTACCCAGTACTGTCAGAATTCCTTCAATACTGCCTAGACAAGGAAACTTTACTAATCAATAATATTTTATTTTTCATATTTTTCAATCATTTCACCATTTATTTTTACACTTTACTCTTTCATTCAAATTCATTAAACATTTACAATATAACATGACCTATTTATTAGACCTATTCTAGAGATTGACACCACATAAGACAAAAACATCTTTGATCTCTGTTTTGGGAAAAGAAGAGCTAACAGAATTTTACTATAAGATACATGCATAAACAACAATTCAAACAAACCAAACCTGAATTTCTTCTCTTACAACATATTTCATCTGCATGGAAAAATTAACATTTTTAAGAAAATCACTGTATGATTAATGTCTCATCAAGATGCCATATCAAGTGAATAAAAAGTGATGTGGGGCACTAATTAATACCACCTTCTAAATAGCATTCAGAAAAGTTTAATAATGTCTACTGTCAAGTTTTAAATGTAGGCAACCATGACAAAATACAAATATTTGTCTTTTTAGTTAGACTACAAATAATTTTTTTTAACTAATTTTAAGGTTCTCAATTTTTCAAATATTTAGTCCTTCAATTAGATTCCCTCATTACCACATCACAATAAAAAAACTGATAACTGGATATTGAACATTCCTTTCGGGTTTACAGTTATCTCCCCTTAACTGTATCAACATTCAATAATTTCAAGATTTTTAATTCAGTTCATCTTTACCAGCAAGAATTACAGATCCAAAATAGAGGACCTGTACATTATTGTGACTGTCACCTGAAAATCAATAATGTTGTCTTCTATACTGTGACTATGTCAAGACTCAGCTAAACATTCTTTCATGTAAAATTAAATTAAGCAAATATTTGAGAAAGAATTATCACAAATAATTTAAAAACAGGTTAGAAATTGATTGACTAATCCAAAGGCCAATCTTATACATTAACTTACACTGAGTAAATATAAATAAAAAATTGGTGTGGTATTAGTCGATATGCCTTCTAGTTTGTGTGAATCCTTAATATTGAAACTTTTAATTGAAGGGAGATAACTCACTGCTCGTAAACTTGGTTGTCTTTGTTGTCTGATAACAGGTTCAGGTTCTGGTTGACTCTAAAAAAGATTACAAAATGTCAATGTGTTTCAAAATAATTTTGTTCATTCTTCTTCTTTGGAATTTTGTATATGTACAGAAAATTACTGTTCACAACTATCATATATTAATCACTCCCAGTTTCCCAGAAGTCAGAACCACTCATTTGACAAAACTACCCCTTTAGAGCTGAAAAATTTAGTAACTTCAGATGAAAGAATAGACAGTGAGGTCACAAAATGATACTCCCTGGATTCATATCAAGTTACAAATTTATAATGATCTCCTTTTTTCAAAATATCAGATTATAAAAAAAGAGATAAATAAAGAGCTGCTGAACCAACGCCTCCTATGTTTTGTGCTGGTAGAGTTCAAAAGTGAATGGAGATGACACAAAAAAACCAAGATAGACTTCCAGCACTATTTAGAACCTACAGGAAATTGAACATAAAAGAAGTAAGATACAAAGAACATAAATCCTTCCCACCACCATTTCCAGTTAAACCAACATTGCCTAGAAATTTTGCGACGGTAAACCACTTTACGGCATTCCCGACGCGATTGGAAGTAGTACCTCTGGCCAAAGGGAAGCCAGTCGAAGTGGTAGTGGTGTGCCCTAAAAGTGTTGTCCAAATTAGGAAGAAATTTTATACAAACTGTACACTGACATTGTACTTACATTCATGTTACACATATTTTTATTTAAAAACACATTTTATCTATACTTATAATTACCATTAGAATAGTTTACAACCATTTTTAAGATAAAGACAATTACAACAATTATAGATTAACTCTAAATTTATTAACTTCATTTGCATTGTACTATGTTTGATTCATTTTCTGTTTAACATTACATTTTGATATAGAGTATCCTATAGCAACGTCAACAATGGACAATTATGACGTCACATACAAGATGCCGTTTTTTTGTACTTCAGGGGTTCTAATTATGTATACTTTGTCCTGATGACGCCGATCTAATCGGCGAAACATGTCGACAATAAAAGATGCATTTTACTTAAGTGTTGTTGTCAATGTAGCGAAAATATCAGATTGTACCATTTTGCCTTTGGTGAAATCTTCATATGTAGTAATAGCTTTTTTAAAAAATTTCCTTGAAATCCATTAGTTTTTTTAATACTGGGTGCAGTTGCACAAATAACAAGTTTATTAGCAATGTTATTAGATTATGAATTGTTTAATGCAAATATTTTACAATGACATATTGATTATAACTTGGTTTTTATGCTAATAGTTCTCTATAACTAGACATACCCTAGCTGGTGTGTGAATTGGTGCCATATGATCTAGATCTGTCATTGGAAATTCTATTCCTTTTCCCTTCAAATCATTATAACATTTCTCTACTTCCTTCAGGTCTGGTTGTCCTTTAAACGCATCTGACCAAGACTATAAAAGACAAATATACATGAAATTATTCACAATTATGTGATTTTTTTTCAAGATTCAATAAATTAATAATGTGAAATAAAAGCCAAGAAGATATTAAATATATAGATAAATAAAATTCTCTGCTGGGTGCAGCTTGATACGACCCCAGAGGTTGAACCTTGAACTGTTGGGGCAAGTATGGACACTACATTCAAGCTTGATACAGCTCTGAATTTGGATTGTGATTGAATATTTGACATAGCATAGGTTTCTGACACAGAATGAATGTTGTCAAAGAATTGAAAAAATTGAAATTGGACTTTTACCTATTAGTGTCCAATATCCAAAATCTAAATACATGGTTACACCAAGTTTTTAATTTAATTATCTATTAATGGACAATATCAAAATATATATATATAGCATTTGTGAATTATTTAATACAGAATAACAAACAAGCCTACCACAAAGTTCTTCAAAAACATTTACAAAAATTTCTTTTTTAAAAATTCCAAAATATCATTCATCACTAATACAATGTGTTATAAAAATCTAAAAAACTTACCTTTAATTATTTATCAAAATATTTAAGAATGAACAGTAAATTTCAAACTATATCTATACATAATTTCTTCACTAAACTAGAATTTGATGCTGTATCTATTTTTACTATGAATCTATTTTAACTATGAATCTACTTACAATTTCTATTAATTGTGCAATACAAATCTGAATTTTGATTTTGATTAAATATTTGACATAGTATAGGTTTCTGACACAGAATGAATGTGGTCTAAGAACTTGAATATTTGGAATTGGATATTAACATTTTATGGTCAAATATCCCAAATCTAAACACATGGTTAGATTCAGCATATCAAAGAATCCCAAGAATTCAATTTTTGATAAAATCAAACAAAGTTTAATTTTGGATCCTTGCAAATCACTCTTGATAATTTTATAACCTAATTAGTACATCAAAGGTCAGACAATTTCGTAACTAATCAACCGTACCTTTTACAAGAAGTTTGTACACATGTGACAAATATCTAAGTACCGGTATTCTATTGATTAACTGTATCAAATATAATCAATATATAAGATGTCATGCAGGTAAAACAATCATTTAACCATAACGATAGACACTTGTTTGTCCATTTTAACAACTTTTTAACTGCAACCATTTCAGTATCCGCTATAATATTTAATAGGGATTAAAGAATCTGCCAAAATTTGTCATATACTTTGTTGCCCCTGAATCGCGAAATTTTACACCCACGAAAATAACCCGCTAAACGGTATTGTCCTGAAACAAGAAATGCTTGTTTTTGACCCCTTTTTGGCTCCTAATTCTTATACAGAGAGGACAACTATTCCGAAAATCAATCCCAACCTTCCTTTTGCGGTATGGAACCTTGTGGTAAATTTCATAGACATCCAGAAATATATACTCAAGTTCTTCTCTGGAAATTAAATGTTTTTGGACGACGATGAGGAGAAAGACGACGACAACATGATACCATTATAAGAATGCCAAAAAATTGCTGTTGTATAAAAACCCAAAGGTTTTCTATTCCACATTTCTTTCAAATAACTTTTAACCTACTTTTTAAGCTAGATCTATCTATATATATATATACTATAGATGAGGTCATGAACTTTCATACCTCTTGATGTTTTTTTTTCCTGCTGTGTTATTAACATATTTACCACACATCTCTTTATCTGGACCGATTACATATTGATTTTAATATATCTAATATATATATTTTTTAAATTTTTGCAGTTTTTGAAATATCACTGATAAATGACAGAGGCCATCTGAGATACATGTATCAACCTATACACAAAACTTAATCTTAGTCACTCAAGCAAAGATAATAGTGCTGTAAATGTAGTGTAACTGAACCAAAGCCCCTTTAGCATAAAACATAGGTTATAGTGCTGAAATGTACTTCAAATTAACCAAAATCACTCGAGCATAAAACATAGGTTATAGTGTAACTTGGTTATGTGTAACTTAATCTAAGTCACTCAAGCATCAAACATAGGCTGCAGTTCTTAAATGTAGTGTAATTATTTTTTAACTATTTCAAAGTGATAATTGGTGTGATATCATCATATTATTATTAGTAACAACATGAGTTTCTAGGAAATTGATCTAATTGTGAAAACTTTACAATAACAAACAGATGCACAGGCATTCAGAGATAAATTGCTTCGCTGAGCGCAGCTGTATACGACCGCAGATGTCCAACCATGAAAAGTTGGGGCCAAAATGGACACAATATTCATGCTTGATACAGGTCTGAATTTGGATTGTAATTAAATTTTTGACACATAATAGGTTTCTGACACATAATAACTGTAGTCAAAGAACTTCAAATTAGTTATATGATTTGAATTTATATTCAATTTTTTGCTTTTGTGCAATACACTATGCGAATTGAACCCCCCCCCCAAAAAAAAAAATTTTACCCCGTTTTTTTGCATTTGTGCAATACATTGTGCAATACACTATGCTGTTGAATATAAACCCCCAAAAAAAAAATATTTGAAGAAATTTTCTTTTAATTTCTGAAATCTGAAATGAGAAAGATTGTCACCCTCCAATTTTTTTCACCTCCCCCCTTTCCCTTATTCCAAAAAACAATTCTTTCCCTCAAATTATGGTCAGTATCTCAGACAATCATCATTTCTTAATACACAATTTCCAAGCAGGGTAAGGGAGGTAATCAAACATTGTTATTTAAATTGATTTGGATTTTGATTACCTCCCTTACACTGCTTTTAAATTGTCTCAATTGTCCTTTAACCAGAAAACCCTTGTTTTTCCCCTTTTTTGGCCCCTAATTCCTAAATGGTTTGAGCCATAACCCCCCAAAGTCAATCCTAACCATCCCTTTGTAGTATGGAAACTTGTGATATAATTTCAGAGAGATTCATACACTTTAACACAAGTTATTGTCTGGAAACTACAAAAATGCTTATTTGGGCCCCTTTTTGGCCCCTTATTCCTAAACAGTTGGAACCATAACCCCCAAAATCAATCCCAACCTTCCTTTAGTGGTTATAAACCTTGTATTAAAATTTGATTGATTTCTATTTACTTATACTAAAGTTATTATCCGGAAACCATCTGTCTTCGGACGACGCTGACGACGACGACAACGTGATACCAATATACGACCAAAATTTTTTTAATTTTTGCGGTCGTATAATAATCATAAATCATTAATGATATATTCTGAATTTCTCTTATGGTAGCAGCCTGTTATCTATATCTTGTATGAAGAGATATTTCTCATATCACACTGCACAAGAGTGTGATACGAAAAAGTGATACGAAAATCTGTGTTAATTTGATTGGCTTATCCAGCATCATGAGAAGATATTACGACATTTCCATTGGATATGAGTTAGGTCATTGCTGACTTCCAAAGGTTAAGACGATGTACATACTATCTAATCCTCTGAATAAACAAATGTGGTAAGCTACAAGTATTTAGTATTTATTGATTTGCAGTAGATTATATATATATAAGACTATCTTTACCTGTATAGAACTTAAAACTTTCTCTTGAAGAACTTGTGGTGGGTCGTATTTAGGACCTATTATTTTGACTAAGTCACCCATAAAATCTTTTGTGGCTACTTGCTGATGGAATTTTTTACCGCAATTCTTCACACATGTCTCTAAGCACTATACATACAAAGAAATAATACACATTAGGTACATTTAAAACAAATATTATCTTTGGAATAACAAGTAAAATAAGTCAAAATTCATGAAAACAAAAATTCCTGTATCTCGTTTTTGATTGAGATTTGAAATAGTATTGCTGCCATTGATGGAAGACAATGATCATAAAAAATGAAAATGTTAACTTTGCTGGTATGATATAGATACCCCTGTAGGTAACTAACGTTTTAAAAATACTTTTTGTCTGACTGGATGCAATCCATGCCTGGGCTTTATCAGACGATCATTTACTTGATGATCATATTTTTTTGAACAGTACTCATTCTCAAATCAGTCTAAATATATTTTCATAATAAAGTTTCTATAAAAAAGATTCACCTTTATAGGAAATTTCATGTAGTTGTGGTAATGCATCAACATGTATATACATTTCAAGTCAATACAAATACATATAATAATTTATCTAATTCTACATATCAGATCAAAGATATGCCTAGTATTTCAATGTCACATGTTTTACCTTATAACTTGCACAATACTCGTAGAAGTTGATGTCTAGAACTTACCGTTAAAGTGTACATAACTGCAGTGTGATTCTTTCCCATATTTTGAGATAGTCTTTTCTTAATTGCTTTAATTGCATCTTTTGGTCTGTAAAATATATATTAGTACTTTGATAATGTATATGAATAAAAGGAGATGTGGGACATATATGATTCAGATAGCAACAAAAAGACAAAAAAAACAAAACAAAAGAAAACTTATGTAATCACAACCTAGTTTATATAGAAATGATAAAACAAAAACAAAAAATGAAAATCAATTGAAATAAATGGAGAATGGGTCCATGGTGCACAGATGATGCCCCTGCTTGCATATAACATTATACAGGGACATAACTCAAGAACAGTAAAAGTAACACCACCCGAATTCATACTTGACCTGAGTTTTGTGCTAATAAACATTGTGTGTAAGTTTCATAACATTTGTTTGAGGCAAACTTAAATTGGAGAATGGAAACGAAAAATTCAGCAATTTTTCCATTTGTAAAGGGGCATAACTCCAACCTTGATCTGTGTTTTGTGGTAATAAGCATTGTGTATAAGTTTCCGAACCCCTGGTTGAGTCAAACTGAAGTCAGAGAACACAAACCAATTTCGGGATATACGTACAGACGGACAAGTCTAACACTTAATGCATCAGATAAAACCTCAGATGACAATGATAAGAGATATGACCTACAGACTGTTACATTTACCATAAAAGAGAATTTCTACCCATCAGATTCTTCAAATCATATTTACCTGTAAAATCAATCATTAACTGCAGATTTTCTTCTCTGAGACCAATGTGTAGAAGGGATGGTATAAAAGACTTGAACAGTTTTGAAAATGCAGTTTTCAATACATTACAATTAGAAAACAAGAGTGCACACGCTGAAACGTCTAGCCTGCTTTACTAGTCATTGATTTTATGTTGATAGTCCTAAATATAAAGCTATACTACAAGTATCACATAAACTTAACATGATCCAAGAAAATGAGGACAAGGTCACATAAACCAAACCGGAAATACATGTACACCTTACAATAATTCCATGCACAAAATATAGTTGACCGATTGCTTATAGTTTCTAAGAAACAAACTTAACCAGGAAAATTTAACATTGACCAATGAACCATGAAAATGAGGTCAAGGTCAGATGAACCATGCCAGACAGACATGTACACCTTACAATCAATCTATGCATTAAAAACAGCTGACCTATTGCTTATAGTATCTACGAAACAAACTTAACCATGAAAATTTAACATTGACCAATGGACCATGAAAATGAGATCAAGGTCAGATGATACCTGCCAGACAGACATATACACCTTACAATCATTCCATACATCAAATTTAGTTGACCTATTGCTTACAGTTAAAGAAAAACAGACCAAAACACAAAAACTTCACATCGAGCAATGAACCGTGAAAATGAGGTCAAGGTCAAATAAAACCTGCCAGACTGACATGTACAATGTAAATATTTCCATACACCAAATATAGTTGACCTATTGCATATAGTATTAGAAAAAAAGACCAAAACACAAAAAATTTACTTTAACCACTGAATCATGAAAATGAGGTCAAGGTCAGATGACACCTGCCAGTTGGACATGTACACCTTAGGCCAAAAAAAAATATATGTCTGTTCAAAGGTTACATACTTTAAAAAAATAGGGTAGGTAGGTCGGTATTTCCATTTTATTCTATTTTTTCATTTTATTTTTTGTGACCTGATTTTGAGTCATGCGGTTTCGTCTTGTCATGGTCCAAGTTGATCATGGGCCGATTTTACCCGTTATTTTAATGATTGGATTATTTCCCTTGGTTATTTGGTTGGAAAGAAATGGCGGCAAACAAGCAAAGTGTTTATTTCATCACACGAGTCAGGAATTTCCTTAAAACAGCTGTCATATTCACGATTGTGAACATTGGGATGTATCAGGCAATTGATTTATATTATTGGCAACCCTAACTTCGCTTTTGACACGAGTTCAGTTTATTTTTCACTTTACGACGGAAATAAAATGACTTAGGGTCGGCTGGTAACCGTAAACAGACATATATTTTTTTTTTGGCCTTACAATCATTCCATACACCAAATATAGTAGACCTATTGCTTAAAGTATCTGATATATGGACTTGACCATGAAAACTTAACCTTGTTCACTGATCCATGAAATGAGGTCGAGGTCAGATGAAAACTGTCTGACAGGCATGAGGACCTTGCAAGGTACGCACATACTAAATATAGTTATCCTATTACTCATAATAAGAGAGAAATTAACATTACAAAAAATCTTAACTTTTTTCCCCAAGTAGTCAATGAACCATGAAAATGAGGTCAAGGACAATGGACATATGACAAGACGGAAACTTCATATCATAAGGCATTTATATACAAAGTATGAAGCATCCAGGTTTTCTACCTTCTGAAATATTAAGCTTTTAAGATGTTAGTTAATGCTGCCGCCGCCCCCAGATCACTACCCCTATGTCAAGCTTTCTGCAACAAAAATCACAGGCTCGAAAAAAACAAACCAGTCCACTTCATTGTCATGATATGAAGTACAGTGAAATACTTGAATACAGAAAATTTATATTTATGTATCTGACATCTTCTATCTAAAACATCATGTACTAGACATAAATTTAAGACATCCTCAATTCAAAAGTCAGATTGTCTTGATCCTGACAATCAGTTCTATTACCAAATACTCCACTTTTAACTCATAAAATAGAAGCAATATTCTGCCATAAACAAAATTTTACATGACTTTAACTTTTAAAATTTCACTAACCCTTCTTCAGTTTCATTAATTACATCACAGATTTCCATAAACAATCCCCAGTTTTCTGATGCTTGTGAACCATCAGTGCTTTTTTCTGAAACAGAAAATAACACTTTAAAACATATATTTTCTTTACCTTTACCTTTTTCTTTTTCTTTTTTATTTAATCATGTTTAAAACTCTGTTGTTAGTTATGTTGTAGTATCATAATTGTTCCGCAATTTCATTTACAATGTAATAATCAAACTTCTACATAGTTCACATGCAGACAATTGTTTCATACATTATTATATCACATGAACAGTGAACTATTACCTGGTACATTTTATGAATAATTTAATGTGATATATGTTGTATAGTCAATGAGACAGCAACACAGAAACAAAATTCAGAAGACACGTAGGATGTACGGCATGACGCTGTCAGGGAAATGAACCAGAATGTCAGAGATTGTGAAACTTCAATTTTTTTCTGTTAGACACACTTTGTGCAGGTATCCCAAAAATTTGGTGGTCCTTTCATTTTATGCAAAATATTACCTCATTTATAATATTAGATATGATGAAAAACCTTTAAAATGAAATCAAAATACAAAAAAGGAATTATTTTTCAGGCATAAAAAAGTATGTATGTTAAGGGTTAGGGTTTCTTTTAAACAATTATCAGGTCTGTAGATTAAAATTTTCATATCTGTTTTTAAAAAATTTGGAAAAAATTGTGTCTATGTGAAAAAAAAATCATGTATTCACTGAGTCAGATATTATATTAATGTTCGCCTTTTGCAGTTTGTCAATAACATGATTTTGGTCAATTCTGTCACAAGTTTTGATTAAATAAATAAGGGGTTGCAACAAGTGATGAGTTGCTAAAAAAATCCTCACCAAAACACTATGGCCCAAGCCGTACTGTATGTGGTCTGATAGGAAACAATAAACGCATTTCATGATTGTCTTTGGCCTAATAAATGTCCAAGTCTTTCAACATATTACAGCTACTTTCATTTTCATATGCCTTTAAAGAATGTAACCAGCCATTCTGCCATTTTGCTTCAACTGGTTCTTAAGTTATGACCACAATTAGTAAAGGTACAACAGGCATCCAGTGCAAATTAATTTGACAAACTACTGATGTTGATGGAACAAACAACAATGACCCTTTTTGTCTTCACGAAACAGTCGTACAATCAGACTGGCTCAAACTTGACATACATGTAGGCAGATTTGGCAGTCAGGACCAACAGGTCTGACAATTTCCTCCAAGTCTGAATTAACTTGTATAAAATTTCACAAATGCCAAAATAAAATATATGTCTGTTTAAGGTAACATCATAAAAAAAAATATGGTAGGTAGGTGGGTATTTCCATTTTTTTTTTGCGACATGATTTCGAGTTGAGCGGTCTGTCATGCCGTGGTCTGAATTGTCCGTGGGTCGAGTTTACCCATATTTCCAATGATTTGATTATTTCCCTTGGTTATTGGTAGTGAAAAATGGTGGCAAAGTGTTTATTTCATCACATGAGTCACGAGTTTCCTTAAAACAGCTGTCATAGTCACAATTGTGAACATTGGGATGTATCAAGCAATTGTTTTAATTTATTGGCAACTCTAACTTCGCTTTTAACATGAGTTTTTCAACTTTACTACAGAAATAAAATGACTTAGGGTCGGTAGATTAACCATTAACAGACATATATTTTTTTTGTTGGCCAAATAGATTAAGTAGGCAGTCAAATGTGGAAACAACTCTGACTGACGAATCATAATAGCATTACACTCATCACTATTTTCATTTGTATTTGTTTGTACTACAAGTAAATTAGATACTATAACAATTAACCCTGTGTCTGCTACTCTGGGTTACAACTCCGCCCTATTAATAACAATGAAGCAGTCCAAGAGTGATTCATTCCAGCCAGAAATATTACATTAAACGCTCAAGACTAAACATGCTAAATACATTTAAGTTTACAATGATAAATTTGAAGAATTAAATACTTCTATGTTAGAAATTTTGTGACAGGAAACACAAGAATTCAATATATTGTAAGTTTTTTGAACAATGTAACAATTAAAGTGGGTAAAGTTCCAAAATGAAATAAGTAGAAGGAAGTCATGTTGCAAGTGTTTAATTAGAAATTAAAATATCCATTTAATACTCTGTATACATGTACAAGATAGTCACAATTACTTGTCACCAAATTATTTTTATGAAAATAACCTAGATCATTATGTTCGAATGAAGAATTCCCTTTTACTCATTTTGGAGTAATGCTGTAGAATGGTAATACTGACAATAGAGAACAGTTTGCAGGGCTACATTAATGTCTTTACAATCATTATTCACCTTAATGCTGTAGAATGGTAATACTGACAAGAGAGAAGAGTTTGCAGGGCTACATTAATGTCTTTACAATCATTATTCACCTTAATGCTGTAGAATGGTAGTACTGACAAGAGAGAAGAGTTTGCAGGGCTACATTAATGTCTTTACAATCATTATTCACCTTAATGCTATAGAATGGTAATACTGACAAGAGAGAAGAGTTTGCAGGGCTACATTAATGTCTTTACAATCATTATTCACCTTAATGCTGTAGAATGGTAGTACTGACAAGAGAGAAGAGTTTGCAGGGCTACATTAATGTCTTTACAATCATTATTCACCTTAATGCTATAGAATGGTAATACTGACAAGAGAGAAGAGTTTGCAGGGCTACAGTAATGTCTTTACAATCATTATTCACCTTAATGCTATAGAATGGTAATACTGATAAGAGAGAAGAGTTTGCAGGGCTACATTAATGTCTTTACAATCATTATTCACCTTAATGCTATAGAATGGTAATACTGACAAGAGAGAAGAGTTTGCAGGGCTACATTAATGTATTTACAATCATTATTCACCTTAATGCTATAGAATGGTAATACTGACAAGAGAGAAGAGTTTGCAGGGCTACAGTAATGTCTTTACAATCATTATTCACCTTAATGCTGTAGAATGGTAGTACTGACAAGAGAGAAGAGTTTGCAGGGCTACAGTAATGTCTTTACAATCATTATTCACCTTAATGCTATAGAATGGTAATACTGACAAGAGAGAAGAGTTTGCAGGGCTACATTAATGTCTTTACAATCATTATTCACCTTAATGCTGTAGAATGGTAGTACTGACAAGAGAGAAGAGTTTGCAGGGCTACAGTAATGTCTTTACAATCATTATTCACCTTAATGCTGTAGAATGGTAATACTGACAAGAGAGAAGAGTTTGCAGGGCTACATTAATGTCTTTACAATCATTATTCACCTTAATGCTGTAGAATGGTAATACTGACAAGAGAGAAGAGTTTGCAGGGCTACATTAATGTCTTTACAATCATTATTCACCTTAATGCTGTAGAATGGTAATACTGACAAGAGAGAAGAGTTTGCAGGGCTACATTAATGTCTTTACAATCATTATTCACCTTAATGCTATAGATGTATTTACACCATAGGGTATTTAGCTGAATATTGTCTCTAACTATCCCTTAATATTGAATAACTTCTGACTTCATGCAACAAGCACTTTTTAATTATGACATCAAATTTATTAAAATAGTGACACAATATTTTGCGGGCACTTGTGTGATTGAAAGTAATGACAAAGAAATGTGCATACAAGTGAAAATACGTCTTTTTGTCCACATTACTGAATATCACAGACATTAATTCCCATCAAATTGTGATGTCACAAGTTAAAATGTTTTACAACACAATGCAAATATGTTTGTTGTATGATGTCAATAGTGTAGCAAAATATGGAGTCATGTGTCACAAATTTCTAAATAACAACATGGTCTATATAGAAGGCCACACTGTAACCCTTTTCTTATTTTTCTAATCTTAATTACATGTTATAGTGTTCTTTTTATTTTTCCTTGTACATTTTTTACCTTTACTGTTTAGTCCATTTTTGGTAATATACTTTTGGTGTGGTTCGGTATTCATACATCCCGCCATTGTGTTATTGTGCTATGGTCAATTTAATATTCTTGTGTTTCATTTTTGCTTATGTACTTTGTCTATAGAGTGTCTGAATGCCATTTTGTTTTTTGATTTTTGAAATAGAAATTTGTTTTTACATTAATTAAGATTATATAATTGTTAAATTTTTAAACATTGTGACTTGGATGGAGAGTTGTCTCATTGGCACTCATTCCACATCTTATTTATACAACACAATGTTGACTGCTGTACCCCAATTTTTTACATTTTTACCTATTATGTCTGTTTGTTTTGCTCACACATTGTTGTCTATATAAAGGAATTCTATGAGACTGTCATACAAGTGAGAGGTTTAGCTAGCTATAAAACCAGGTTTAATTCACCATTTTCTACACAAGTCATAAGGAAATGCCTGTACCGAGTCAGGAATATGACAGTTGAATTCTGTTCGTTTGATGTGTTTTAGCTTTCAAATTTGCCATTTTATGAGGGACTTTCCGTTTTAAATTTTCCTAGGAGTTCGGAATTTTTGTTAATTTACTTTTCCAAATTTACTACAGTGACATGGAAGGAAGTGCAAGTTGAGTTTGGTATTTTACTGTCAGAGATGAAAGTACAGCAATGACACTATTTTTCTAGAATATAAAAATCTATTTGAAAAAAAATATATATATAACTGAAGTTAGGAGCAAAATAGTATTCAAGACAGTAAATATATCTGTCTCAATGCCAATGGTCCTTTTTTATTCCAACTTTTTCATTCTATTTTCTACGTTTCGCACTAAAAGTAACGTGACAGTGTTTTTTGCTGTTATGTTAGGTAGTGTATGCAATGTCTCATCTTAAATATGAGCTGTTCCTTGTTACTATTGGCTCTTACCAATCATCTGGCCTACAGGTGTAGCCAGAGGATTCCCATGTCCAAAGAGGGCAGCCATTTTTGTTGTAAATATTGCGTGACGTCATTTGTTTGATCTATTTATAGAACAGTCTTGTGACTGGCATAAAATTCCGAGCAATATTTGAAATAATAAGCAATATTCACATATTATCAAGTTTTGTTTTTTCCTCAAATTCAAATAGCATTTAAAATATAAATTTTAATGGAACGGAAGTATTTTCAGAAACCGGAAATAACAGTCGACATAGAAACAGGACGCCATTTCCCACAAAATTTGAAGCTTTCAAATCGACAAATGTGAGGAATCATTGAGTTTACAGTCGATTCTTGTGAAAAGGTTAATGTCATCTTCAATAAAACACAATAGATGATATAGTTTTAATAATTAACAATCTGTCATTTGTATTTACTAATATTTACAACAAATAAACGAGTACACAACACAACAAAATAATCTGAACATACAATACATACATGCCTGTAGCATGGTAGATGTACTTCCTTTAACCTGCAGTACAGTATAGATCTCTTCGAATACTGGCTTAACGATCTAAGATATGTTTCTAAAACGACAAGTTACTGTCAGGGGTCCTTAGTTCAATCCTCATGTGGACCAGTGCCAGTGGTAATACTAATAGACGACTTGCAAATTTGTGCGCTTTCCCGTACATTTCCTACATCACAGTGCTTATGTTATTGTGTCACCGCTAGGAGGACTGAGAATCGATTTTCTATGACGTAATTTACCCCAATTGACCTCGGGTCAACCAGTGTAACTCATTCATAACATTAACAAACAACTCGAGACTGGTGTATACATGATCTTCCAATAAACTTGTTTACACTTTTGGTATTTATCTGAATTTTGTCTCCCAATGACCTTAGATCTGTCTCCGAATAACCTACTGAAGTCAAGCAACAATCTGTTTTTAATTATGACATCAAATTTTACGGGAACTTGTGTGATTTTAAGTAATGGCGGACAAATTTGCATACAAGTGTAAATACCTCTATGAGTGCATTTTCCCGAAAAAATTTAGTGTTAAATATCAAACATCTTCACAGCACAATATGCCAAATCTAAGTAAAGTTTGACTTCACCAACTTCAAAATATTTGCGCCAAATTCCATGTACATTGTGTACCCTCTAATTTCTAACAAGCGTCACATTTTGTTATACCTTCTAGCTTCATATGAAGTTTATTGATGCATATTAGCATATCAATTTATTTTATAAAAGATATAAAGGTTTCCTTTCTAAGAATTAAACTGGAAAAACCTTTCCAACTTTAATAACAAACACAACAGAACAACAATTGGTTGTGTATAAAAATAAGAAGATGTATAATTGCCAAAGAGACCAAATGACATAGAAGTTTACAGCTATAGGTTACTGCATGTCTTCAACAATGAGCAAAACCCATACAGCATAGTTAGCTATAAAAAGCCCTGAAAATGCCAAATGTAAAACATTTCAAACGAGAAAACTAACGGCCTGATTTATGTACAATATAATGAATGAAAAACAAATATGATACGCAACAAACGACAACCACTGAATTACAGGCTACTGACTTGGGACAGGCACATACAGAATGTGGCGGGGTTAAACTAGTTTGAAGGAGCCAATCCTCCCCTAACCTGGGACAGTGGTGTAACAGTACAAGATAAGACAAAAACTTTAAAAATCAGTTGAAAAGGGCGTAACTCTTCAGATCGATACAAAACAGAATTACATCTAACAAAAAAACAGACTGAACGTGGCTTTATAAATAAAAATGATACATTTAAACTTTAAAGAAGCTGTAAAACAATTCTGTGATTTTGCCAGCTCTCGTCACTTTACAGATAAAAAAGTATAACATTGATATCCTCATCATCATATGTGACAGATTGATGTTAAAATTTTTTGGGATTGTCCATAGACTGTTAAGTAGTATCATGAATATCAAGATTAGATTTGTAATATTTTGTTATTTGTTATTTATAAGTCAACAGAAGGTGGCCTAGTCTCACCTTCACCATTTTAAAGTTTTAACAGCACATAACAGTTCCTTCAGATTATTCACTTGTTATGTTAAAATTATTAAATATAGTACGTCATAAATCTTTATCTTTAAATAATAAGTTTTTTGAAATACCATTTTGATGATAGAACTTATAAAGACCTTTTTAATTTGTTTTAAATTTTCATAGCTTTAAGACTCAGCATTGATAAAAAACTATGGCAACCATCTTTTTTAGTTCTTTTTCATTTCGTTAAAATATGTGAACTTCATTATTTCAGATCCATCATTAAAGCAGCAAAATGAGTACTGTAAATTCTATGTCTCGTATGTATGATAACTTGGAACCAACAGTTATTGATGAAGATTTACTCAGATCTGCTGTTGAAGAACAAGGTCCCAAAGAAGAAGCTGGTAAAATTGCAAAAGCTGAAGGGATAGACTTTGGTGATGTTAGATCCTTGAGATTAGACTTCAAAAGTTAGTATTAAAAAGATAATTTATCCATGTATGAACAATTGATAGATGTAAATAGTCCAGTCTGAATTATGAGAGAAAACTATGAAAATGTGGTAGTACATGTTTATCACAATTTTCATATATTTGCCAAAAACTATATATAGAAACAAATTCCAATGTTTATTTGCTACATTGTTTCTTGTGGATGACATTTTTAAATTGCTAATTCCTTGTTTTGATATTTTATGTAGAAGTTTCATATAGTTTTTTGCCATTCAGAAAAAATATTTTTCAAAATTGTAGCCTACTGACAAAAGCTTAACTTGCTTGAACTAATTATTTGTTGAAGTGAATTCCTTTCACTTTTCTTAAAAATTGTATTAATTTAAAAAAGAAAGTATCTTTGAGGGATTTACCTTTATTTATTTTGTTGCACTTGCATTCATTTTATATATACATTTTGTATATGTCTAATATGTTGTTGTCATTTTAGATTTTATATCATGTGAAAAGAAATAGTTATTTAATTAATGTCCGTTTTTCAGATGTTTTGACAATTGACAACTTATGGGAATTTACAGCATTAACAAAATTACAGTTGGACAACAATATCATAGAAAAAATAGAAGGACTAGACTCTCTGGTCAATCTTATTTGGTTGGGTAAGTGTATAAATCTGTTAATCAACAAGGGTGTTGTGAAAACAGAATTATCATGATTTGAAGGATACATATGTGGATATACAGGACTGGGACAGCAACCTAAAACCATACTGAAATAAGAAAAGACATCTAAATGTCAGATACAGTCTTCACGTTACAAGCAGAACCAAATACAATGAAAGTCCCAACTATGTATTGGCTTCCGAAGCTACACAAAACACCTTACAAATATAGATTCATTTCGTCTTCAAGCCATTGTTCCACTACTAAATTGTCTATTCTTCTTACCAGTACACTTGGTACAATCAAAAACCTGATAATAAATTGTTCAAATGAGGCCTTCGAAAATAGTGGAATTAATTACTTTTGGAGTGTCAAGAACTCGTTGGAAGTACTTGATAAATTGCATGCATATATTGGTGATTTTGAATCTGTTCAAAGTTTTGATTTTTCTACCCTATATACCACATTGCCTCACATTCTCATTAAGAAAAAATTCACACACCTAATTAAATGGGCATTTAAAAAGTCAGAATGTGAATATATATGTTCAAACTCTTTTAGGTCATTTTTTAGTAGCAATAAACAAAAAAACTATGTCAATTGGACATGCTTTGATACTATATATGCCCTTGAATTTTTACTAGATAACATTTTTGTTCGCTTTGGAGATTCTGTATATCGTCAGGTTATCGGAATTCCAATGGGGACTAACTGTGCACCACTTATTGCGGACCTTTTTTTGTATTGCTATGAGTTACAATTTATGACAAAAATCAGTAAAGACCCATCAAAACAACATCTGATACACAAATTTAATAATACTTTTAGATATTTGGATGATATTTTGGCTCTCAATAATGACGACCAGTATGTATACTAAAGAAATTTATCCTGTTGAACTTACTTTAAATAAAGCTAATACTAACAATGACCACTGCCCTTTCCTCGATCTTGATATCTATATCATTAACGGAAAGCTTAATACTAAAATATATGATAAAAGAGATGATTTTTCATTTCCTATCGTTAATTATCCATTTTTAGATGGTGACGTTCCCTTGTCACCATCTTACGGTGTTTATATATCTCAACTTGTACGATTCGCTCGTGTATGTAACAATGTTTTAGATTTTAACGAGAGAAATTTATGTATTACTGAAAAATTATTACACCAGGGTTTTCGATATCACAAACTAGTCAAAACATTTACTAAATTTTATCATCGGTATAAGGACATCATTCGTAAATATAGCTCAACATGCAGACTTCTTATACGTTCAGGTATTTCACATCCAATTTTTTATGGAAATATTCTTTATAAAGCACAAAAATGTCAGTATTCACCTCTGAAACTAACAAAACCTTTAAATAGACTTATTAAGAAGGGATATAGTTACGATACTGTTGTCAGGTCATTAAAGATTGCATATTTTGGCGTTAATATTGATTCACTTATAGGGTATTTGCATCGGCACTAAACACATTTATTTAAAAACCAGTTGTTGGCATGACACGGGTTATGTTCTTCTCATATATGTTATGATGGTATGATACTAAACCCCTATCGGGAAGGATTGTGCCTGATATTCATATGATGAAGACATAATCTTTCAATCAGTTTAATTGAAGTCTGGAGCTGGCATGTCAGTTAACTGCTAGTAGTCTGTTGTTATTTATGTATTATTGTCATTTTGTTTATTTTCTTTGGTTACATCTTCTGACATCAGACTCAGACTTCTCTTGAACTGAATTTTAATGTGCGTATTGTTATGCGTTTACTTTTCTACATTGGCTAGAGGTATAGGGGGAGGGTTGAGATCTCATAAACATGTTTAACCCCGCTGCATTTTTGCGCCTGTCCCAAGTCAGGAGCCTCTAGCCTTTGTTAGTCTTGTATTATTTTTAATTTTAGTTTCTTGTGTACAATTTGGAGTTTAGTATGGTGTTCATTATCACTGAACTAG